GTTTTCTTCCTGTTATTACAGAGTTAGATAATCAGGTCACAAAACAGACCTATGACACTTCAAGGTCGTATTCCGAAGAGCTGATGGAGGTGAGACTCTGACATAAAGTTGAAAGTTCAAGTTTTATTTAAAAGTGTTTAACACAGATTATCCTTAACTTTCAGCTTGATGGAGATTTTCAGATGAAGAATCCGGAGCAGAATGGAAGAGGAGGAGGAGGCCTGGTCTTGAGAGCTCGTGGATGTGGAGGGAACAGTACGGCATTGAATGGGACAAACCTGTGGTAAGAATAGAGAAAAGAAAAGAGTCTCTGGAAATCCTGAATGAAATCAGGTGCAAATAACAACAAAATCACTTCAGGCCACAAGGGGGAGACATCACAGCCCATTTTGTACAGACCCCACAACACAGCCTGAAGAAGAGAGCAAAAACCGAGATGCACATCCTGTTTGTTGGCATATCCAGAGAGGAAATACCAGCAGTAAATTGTAGATGTTTGTTTTGTGTTTTGAATAACAGTTACTTTAAACTGTTACTTACCTTTTTCCTCACAAGCTGGGGTCATAACAGAACTCAATTATCATCATGTTTGACTCTGTTTAGTTTAGTTTGGTATGAATCAATTGTAATTTCAAGTATGCTAACTGTTAATTATTACTAACTGTTATTTGAATATAAAAGTAGTTTGTGTTGTTTCAATGGGTTTTATCAAAAATAGTATATTGAAATGTTGGTTTTCAATCTTTGTATTTACTCATCAGTCAGGCTTTAGTCACTATCTCTAGTGCAATCTAATATTCTTTTTCTGTGCTTGTCAGTCCTATTTGTACTAAGAATGGCCGTTCTTTTTTTCCTCCTTAAGGTCACTTCCTTCCAATCAACAGTTTCCAGGCTCAGGATCTCCGTCCAAGGTTCAGAAAACCATTAATGAAGTGTCGGGATCTCCAGGGAAAAAAGAGGAGAGCGTGTGTCCCCCACACATCCTGAAAAACATCTTTGTTCCAGTGGAGACCATCAAGCCCAGTGAGTCCTAAAACAGCTGGCTTCAATTTGAGTATTATCGTGCTACTTATAATTGTATCACGACCGTTTTTTGCTCCCTGATTCTCTAAATTAAATGTCATTTGTTTTTTCGATTGTTTTAAAGGTCATCTTGAACCGATCACTTTGTACGATCAGAACGGGATCCACATGGCTTTTCATTTTGCTAAAGACTCTCCGCCGGGTCATCCAGACGTTGCTGTGGTGGTTATCTCCACAGTGAACACATCTGCCCTCGCTGTAAAGGACTTCCTGTTTCAAGCTGCTGTCCAAAAGGTAATACAACTTTTAAAAAAATAAATAAATTACAGGTAAGAAAGAACAAGATTACAGAAATAATCCAGACATGTTTTTGTCAAGTTTTACAACAATGCTTTTCAGATTGTAATCCTTAAAAACTTGGGTGATGGAAAGAAACTTCAGCTTTTACTTCATACACTGTCTGAGGTGTGACTGAGCAGTATGAGCAATAAGTAAGGTCTTTTTACCTGCTCTTTTGTAATGTTAACAGACAAAGAGTAAGGTATTTTACCTGCTTTTTGTAAAGTGTTTTGAGATAACACTTGTTATGAGTTGACGCTATACAAATAAATTGAATTGAATTGAATATGAGATGTCAGTGATTTATGGTGTATCAACACTCAGAAAGGAAAAAATGAGAGATTCTTATTCTTACTACTTTTTAGATCATTAATGGTTTTGGACCTGTTTTTCAGTAATGGCTTGAATATCCACTTGTCAATTGTATCTCTCTCCTGCAGACCATGTCAGTGAAACTTCAGCCCACCTCAGGAACAAACCTTCCTCCTTACAATCCTCTGCTGCCTCCTCCTGCCCTCTCCCAGGTCCTCCTGTTGGCTAATCCTCACAGGGTGAGTCTGCAGTGTTTATTTTTTATTTTTTCAAAACATTTACATATTAATGACTGATCGAACTCTCTATTTCTCTGTCATTAGAGTGAAACAAGATGAGTGCTTAAAAAGATAAATCAATACATTTGTGTGTGTTTGTAGTTTTAATATTATGTTATTGATAGTGGTGCTGTGATTCTATTTTGTCTTCTTTCTGTAGAAAAGCCTGTGTCAAATCAGTGTTTGTGTTTTTATGTTCTGTGTGCATTTTTCAAGTTAGAAGTCCAGATTTACATTAAACATATAAGATGAATAAACTAGTTATCCTCAATTAGAATTTATAAAAATGTCCAAATTAAGTTAGCTGTGGTGCAAACCTTTTCATAAAATATTGAGATTTATTTACATAGATTTGATTATATAATCATTCACTTTCTCGACCTTGCTTCATCTGACTTCATTCCCTCTTTGTTTTTAGCGTAAGCTGCGTCTACGATACAAGTTGACTCTGAAACAAGGTGACCGCCTGCTTAATAAGACCGGAGAGATCGACAACTTTCCTGACTGGATTTCTTTGACGGGCCAATAAAACTTTCATGGACTTGAATTTTAAATTTTAAAAAAACATCCTCTGGACCCGGCCTGAATAACAAACTGAAACTTTGAAAATGTTTACAGAAGAAGAAAACTCAGTAAGAAGATGGAGGAATAACATGACTGTTGCAGTTGATCCTCACAAGGTAACAAAGATGGTAGCAAGTATATGGAGTCCATATTTTCTTAAGGATTTTTTGTAATGTATAAAATAAAATAAAGTTTGAGGTTGGATTGGTACATCCCTGATGCACCTGATTCAGGAGGTCATCATTTTGCTGTTGTCTTACATCTTGCGATTTCTGCCTCCTGCATGTTGAGAAAGCTAAGTTTGATAAAAAAAAACAATTGCGCACTGTGTACGCTTTAGACATATTTCTGGTTAGATGCCTGCCTATGAAAGTTTGTATTTATTTTCTTTCTGTGCAATGGTGACATTCATGGAGTGCCTTAAGATAAAAGCTTATTGGGTTTTTAGGATGTTTTTTAAGAATTAAGTCACCTTAAGAAGTGCATGTGTGCAAGTGATCATCCTTCTTCCTGCATCTTATCCCATCTCCCTCATCCTGTTTTTCAAGCCCCGGCACAGTTTCGGCAGATGGCTGTTCATCATGAGCCTGGGTTTGCCCAAGATTTCTGCCTCTTAAAAGGACGTTTTTTCTTGCCATTGTAACGTTGTTAAATGTTGCTAAGTGCTACTCTCATGATGGATTAATGCTGGGTCTTTGTAACATATGAGTATGGACTTTTACCTGAACATTTGTTGTGCATTTGTGCTATACGAATGATTGGTTGATTGATTGATTGATTGATTGATTGATTGATTGATTGATTGAAGTGAGAAACCTTTAAAGGTTTGTATTTGCTGCACTGAATACAAGTTCTTTTTTTCTGTTTGTAAAATTGAAAAGATAAAAAAAGGAGCTTAAAGCATTGTTATTTAAAGGCTTTACATGCAGTTTCTGCATCTGCTGGTTTTGGGTTTTTTATCCTGAAGCTGTTCAGATCATTTCTTTATTGCTTGTGTTTTGAGTTTTGGGATTAGATATGGTACTGATGTTACCAACTTTAGTTACAGGTAATGTCATCTGAACAGATGTTTCATAGTTTTCTTACTTTTATTTGATAGGATTCATCTATTACATCTACAAGTAATTCAGCATGCTGCTCTACCAAATGTCAGTTGAAAAATAATATATTCAATCTGTAACACAACAAATGTGAATTCAAAGTCAATGCTTGCCAAAATGTCTTTATCCAAAAATAAAAACGTTTTTTATGGTCATATTCAGTTTCATAGTTCAATCTACAGTGACCAAGTTTCAGTGGTCAAAATGTGAATTAAGGCGTTAAGCACTACACAAGTATTTATGGCAGCGGCTTATTTTTTTCCATACATATTCAGCTGACCTAACATGACCTAAAAAAAAGTAGAAATTCATTAAATGTGTTTCTTGAAAACTTTTCATGAGTTTTTGATCAAGGACAAGAAGCTATTTAGTTTAGTTCTAATTATAGGGAAAATACAAATGACTTCAATGTTGTGCCTCAACATATTAAAGATTTATTTTTGGGCCTTTTGTGCCTTTAATTGAGAGACAGGACAGTGGCTAGAGTAGAATGAGAGAGAGAGTGGGGAATGACCATGCAGGAAAGGAACCACAGTCTGGATTTAACCTGGGCCGCCCGCTTGGAAGCGCCCCATGCCTCAACATATCAAACTGAATATCTATTGATTGATTGTAACTTTGTTGTTTGATGACATGATGCCATTTACATGTGTACATGATGTATGTGTACACCATGTACATGATATACATGGTGTGTATATGTGTGTGTGTACATGTAAGCAAAGACTAGACCCGAGTGTACTTATTTAACACTCTTACTCTCCATTTGATCTGTATTTTGTGGGAAAGGTTTTTTTACTTTCAAAGTTAATTCTTCTAAATGTCAGGCTCCGAAAATACCCGAAGCTTCCTAAAAAAAATTAATCTCTGGTAACAAGTCAGAACGTGAAAAAACGTACGTATATTCAAAAGCAGGGACCTAAGACCTTTGACACTAACTAACTCTTGTCTTGATACTTGACATGACCAGCTTGTTATCGGAAATGTTGCCTATTGATTATCTCTTTTTCTGGATAAGGAAGAAATTAATCAAAATTTAACGACCCCAAATAAAGACATGACCAGACGCATCCCGCTGTATGAATCCTTTCCAGGGAACAAAGATGTGTACCACCTGCAATTCAAAACAACTCCATAAAGTCAATTGAACAGATTTATTATATGACATCAGCAGATTAAAATACATGTTTTTATGTACATATATGTAACAGGGGTGTCAAATAAAGTGCCAAATACCTCTTTTTTTCTTCTTTTTTTTTTTACAAAAACTAAACAAAACAAAAAACATGGGCTAAGTGGAAGACCATCACAACCATTAACCCTGGTCCCACAGTTCATTGCTTCACAAACGAGTAGCCTCCTTTGTTAAGGGCGGCTGAATTGCTCAGTGCTGGTCATAGGTCGATTTGGCACGATTTATCCTGGAATCAAACTCACGGACTGGAAGAGGTGTGAAAAGTGACGAGATGAGATGAATACTGGGTGTTTTCTTCGTGTCGTTTTTCCTCAAACATGGATCAAAATCAACACTAGAACAGGATCCACGTCTTGAGCTGGATTGCAAAATGTTTCAATCTCAACCAGACATTACTTAGAAGTGTTTTTATTTTAAATCCAGAAATGTTGCTTCAAAGTTAGTACTTGAGCAGATCAAACTGTTCCTGGACCAGAAAACGCAGGTGTTCCTGTATTTAATACAAGACGAGAAGTTACACTTTTTGTGACAAACAGAGGAAGATTCTAACAGTTGTTGGTCAGCAGGTTTGTGTTACTCAAACGAGACAGTGACACAGACAGGATGGGTAGCACTTATTTGCTTGTACGAATTTCAGGGTATTTTTTCATTTTCAGGAGCTACAAAAGGTCTTTAAAACAGCTTTCTCCTCCTTCTTATGATCCCACAGTTTATTCCCGTACGGCAGTGATGGATGTGCAGATACTTGTGTGATGAAGACTCTTGTCTTTTGTCACTAGCAGATGATCGAGACACTGAAACCCTCCAGCAAATGCTGTAGCGTTTGTGTCCCGTGCTCAACTGTCCGATTTAAATGTTCCTCTGCGAGCTTGGATGTTTATTTTGAGACGTCTGCAGTCAAGCAGGAAGTGCATCTCCAATTCGTTTACAACCTCCTCCACGACAGTCTAGCTGCACACTTTGGACGCTTTCCTGGCTCCATTTATGGACATCTTCATTATTCCCCAACATTTCCTATCTGACCCTGATAATTCCTGTTTATATTTCCAACTAACTTTCCTCCTCCTCTTCTTCTTCTACAACCTCCTCCTGATCAGCTTCATCCTCAGCTGTCTCCTCCTCCTCCTCCTCCTCTTCTGCTTCACCTACCTCTACTTTTTCCTCTTCTTCTCCACCAGCATCTTCAGTTTCTCCTGCCTCCTCCTCCTCCCCCTCCTCTACCTTCTCCTCTGTTTCGCCCTCCTCTTCTTCTTCATTTTCCTTTGTCTCTGCTGCCTCCTCTTCCTCCTCATTTTCCTCCATTTCTGCCTCCTTGCTTTCTTCTTCTCCTTCTAATTCCTCTTCTTCCTCCTCATTCTCTAAAGATTTTTCACCTTCTGTTTCCTCCTCCTTTGCCTCCTCATTTTCTGCACCGTCCTCACCACCCTCTTCCACTTCCTGCTCTTGTTCTCCTTCCTGGTTTTTCTCATCCTCTTCCTCCGCTTCTTTGGGCTCCTCTTCCTCCACTGCATAATTTACTTCCTCTCCTTTCTCCTCTTCATCTTCTTCTCCATCTCCTTCTCCATCTCCTTGTTCTCCTTCTCCCTCTCTTTCTCCTTCTCCTTCTTCTCCATCTCCTTGTTCTCCTTCTCCCTCTCCCTCTCTTTCTCCTTCTCCTTCTTCTTCTCCATCTCCTTGTTCTCCTTCTCCCTCTCCTTGTTCTCCTTCTCCCTCTCTTTCTCCTTCTCCGTCTTCTTCTCCATCTCCTTGTTCTCCCCTCTTTCTCCTTCTCCTTCTCCATCTCCTTGTTCTCCTTCTCCCTCTCTTTCTCTTTCTCCTTCTTCTCCATCTCCTTGTTCTCCTTCTCCCTCTCCCTCTCTTTCTCCTTCTCCTTCTCCTTCTCCATCTCCTTGTTCTCCTTCTCCTTCTCCTGTACTATTTTCCTCCTCCTCTTCATCTCCAACTCCGTTCTGTTCGCTGTTGTGATTCTCCTCGTCTTCTTTCTCGATTTCTACATGGTTCTGTGCCTCTCCTGTCAGTTCCACCTTGTCATACTTCATATGTACTTCAGTGCCATCATCGCAGATAGATTTTGTTCCACTCCTCCCGCCGCTGCTCCTCATGTGTATGTGATTATGGTTGTTGTGTTCGAGGTCCTCCAGGGTGAGCTCAAACTGGAAGCGGTCGTGCTGCAGGTGTCTGTCGGGGGGAGGTGAGGGGGACTGGGGCATGGTGTTCAGATACCACTCCCTGTTCTCCTCCAGGGTGTCCAGCAGCTCCTGGGCATCTGGGTGCACCAGGTCGGCCCAGGTCTCCCACAGCGGGTGGACAATGTAGTCTATGAAGCCCACCTAGAAAAGGAAAGAATGATAAAAATAAGGAATGCTTTTGGGAAAATACTTCATTATTATTCTGCCAAAAAGTTAGATGAGAAGATTTATAAAATTTTTATGTCTGTGGGGTGAATATATCTTAAAGCCACTTGCAGCAGCCAGTTGGCTTAGCTTTGCATAAAGACTGGAACCTGATGGAAACAGGTAACCAGACTCAGTCTAAAGCACTGGTTCTCAACTGGTCTAGCCTCAGGACCCAACACCAATTCCTTCATGAAAAATCGCGACCCGAATTCAGATATTTTTCAATCAGTACGATTTGAAAAATGAAAAATTGTGCAGCTTGGACCTCAGACAAAGAACAGAACAAAGAAATGAAACAAACATGTTAAAAAAGGTCTTTTTGACACAATATTTTTTCAGGGCACACATTAGTCACCCACTGAAAATGGCTCACTTTTTGGGTCCCGACCCATCAGTTGAGAAACACTGGTCTAAAGGAAACAAATTCTACTTACCATGTTATCTACACATTAAAACCTCTCCCGCCCTGTAAAGTATGTTCACATTTTAGATATAATTTAGTTGAACTTTTAGAGTTATAATACCTGGTTTAGAATACTTGTCTTGCTTTACTGTTGGGGATTATTGTTAAATATTTTTATTTCACATGTACTTTAATTACTCCCATAACCTGCTGCTGTAACACGACCATTTCCCAGTTTGTGATGCTTAAAAAATACTTACGTCAAGGTGACAGGATTCAAGGAAAAAACTGAACCCAATCATGAAATTATCGTGCACATACTCTCAACCTACCCTGGTCAAAATCATAGGTGTTGTCTTTATGCTTTTTATTTTTTCAGATCTTGTTAATTTAGGGCAGAGTCAGGCTAGCTGAAGACAATAAAAGTACTGCACATCTCAACTAAAACAACTTAGTGTTCTGACTAAACTCCTCTAGTGTCATGTCCAGTTCATTAGTCTGCATGCATGTTACCAACAGTGACACCTTGAAAGTAGATGAGAGCAAGCAATCTGTGCTTACCTGACTCTTCTCCACTGAAGCAGTGTGTTTGTCACACATGGCGCTGATTTCCATCCCTCTCTCTCGCTCTTTGTCTCCCTGTCGAAAGAATTCCTCCATGATCCTCTCCGTCCACTGTCGGTACAACGGCAGCGTCTTGGTGGGGTTGCTCAGGTCCGCACAGTGCACCATGTTCCTCAGCACCTTAACACACATTTATTGTGCAGTTTATTTAAATATTTTTATAGTAAACATATCTAAATTTCAAGCCAGTCTGTTGTAGTGGCAGTACTGGTATGTACAGTGTGGGGGAGCCGTTACCTGTATCCGTTCTGTATAGTGGTCCAGGAGCAACACACCTGAGCTGGTCACCTTCTTGGTCTCAACCATCGTCTTCAGGTCAGCCAGCAGGGTCATGTGTTTGGACATGTCTGTGGCCAACACCTGCAGAGGAAGACAATTAAACAGAATATAAAAGAAGCAAAAAGACCCAACCTCATCTCTGTCTCTGATTCTGAACATTAGAGAGAGGGGACCAAATGGTCTTTAGGTTGAATTTAAGTACAAAATCGTTACTGCCACTTCAAAAGCAATATCGCAACCAATAAATGGAGAATCTTTCTCTTTTAGAGTTTTGAAAGAAATCAAGTCCTGAGTGGGACAGATCGGGCCAGAACTTCGAGATTTATGAAAAAAAAACGGGCAGTAATTTTGCACTGCCTGGATTAATTTGATAGATTTGATTTTGTTCGAAGGAGCAGAGTCTTGGATTAAGTGACATTATCAGTGCTGTTCCGGTTGCAACAGACTTAAAACTGCCTCCCTCACCAATCCTTCCAGGCATTTAGGTGAACGAAAATGAGCTTAAAGAAATGGAGAGCCAGTGTTTAATTTGTCCATTCTTGACTACAGTCGAGACATGGCACCAAAACATAGCGAACTCTGAGGAAAAGGAAGTGCCCCTCTGAGGATATAAGGACCTCATCATAAAGTAATGAAAAGAATATTGCTGTTTTCAGCGGGTTATATTCCAATTAATACATACTTTTAGATGTTTTGTATCATTTCTGCCAAAAGATACCCAATTGTACACGCTGGACCCTTGACCTATATCAAACTTCTTTTTGTAAGAGTGTCCAGGTCAATACAGGCAGCAACAAGTTAGAGACAAAGAGTAAAAGAAAAAGCTTTACAAAAAAAACTTGTAATCACTTTTAAGAAATTCAGAGCAAGTCTCTCAAACAAAAAATCATACAAACTATCAGATCATAGAAACAACATAGTGTCACTTTTGAGAGCATGTGAGAGTGATAAAAAAAAAAAAGGTCAGGGGCGCTGGTCGCGCAGTGGTTAGTGGGCGCGTCCCATGTATGGAAGCTGTAGTCTTCCAAGCAGCCAGAAAAATGGTAAAAAGTGTTTTAATGAGACAATTTCTTTAATAAATGTTCAGATATCTTGTGACACGTAGGAGACAATGAAGTCATTTCCACAATTCACTAAAATAATTGTAGAGTTGTTCTGACCAAATCGATGACAAGCTTGCGGAGGCTCTGGCGCTGTCTCTTGGTGAGGTTTTGGAAGATGTCACAGTTCTCCTGGTGCAGAAGCTTGAAGCCCACAGCAAGGTGATGGTTCTCAAGAACAGACTCGTCATTATACATGAGCGCCAGCTCCGAGTCTGAGTACAGGGAGGAGGGGACACAGGAGGGGTTTGTTCAAATATCTACATAAAAAACTGGATGATTATTATCTATGCGGGTGTAGGTGTGTATGCACTCACTTGTGTTGATGAGGAACTGATTTGAAACTCCGGGGTGGTCTACGTCATGGATAGCTGCAGCAAAGAGAGCGGCAAGGATCTCCAGGTCTGTGAAGACCGCCTGAAAAGAAGAAGAAAGGTGGAAGAAAGAAGATGAAGTTCAGAGGATGAGTGGAAAAGAATGACTCCTTGACCTAAAAACACATTAATATGTTCATTCTCCTTTATGAAAGAACTAATCTTACGAAGTATGTGAATATAATAAATCATTTTAAGAATATCTGTAAAAACCATGATTAAAAATATAAATGGTGTAAATAAATCTTTGGGTATAAGCCCCATGTTTATATTTATACATTATATTTGATGCATAATCAGCAGCTCATTTGTATTTTGAGGACAAAGGTAAATTGAAGTACCTCAGATTAAATACAACTTTCACACATAAAGTAAGCTACCTTCCTAAACCACAGGTTGATATCATAAAATATTACAATTTTTGAAAAACACATTAATTGACCAAACATCAAAAATGTATTGATGAGCTTTGAGCAAAGTTAAAATAATTTATCAGTCTTGGTTTGAGAGAAGAGTTATTTAAATAGTAACGTGAACAGGCATGGTCACCAGATCTATCCCTGTTTGATTAATGATAAACCAGAAAGTGTGTGTGAGACATTGGTATAGTGTTTGGTTGTAAGCATACATCAAGAGCAGGAGTAGAGAGCAGGACGTGTGTGGACTGGGTGACATCTGCAGCATGGAGGCTGTTGTGGTACGCTACGTTTCCATGGTAATGGTCCTCCAGGGTCATCACATAAGTGAAAAAGGTGTCGACCGGGATGCGAAACGTCTTCAACAGCTCTCGTTCCTGATGAGAAGGAGAGGAATCAAAAATTCACACACAGGTCCTGTTTACGCCTGGTTTTCACAAGTGTCCTGAGAGATCCAATCACAAGAGGACAACTCTCATTGAGGCCGTTCAAATCCAATCTTTGGCATTAGGCATTACGCCTACCATGTTTCCCCTCTTTTGTTCTCCCAAAGGAACGTTTTCCGGAATTATTAAATCATCGCCAATAAAAAAAAACATCAATTGGTAAATAAGTATAGTGTGGATTCTGTCTTCATGTGATCTTGTTCAGGGTCTTGTCACTGAAAGGTTTCGTAACATACTGAAAATAAAATCTACTGTCTCTTACAGACAGATTATTTATGGCCTACATTTTGCTCCTTTCTCAAATGCTTGGATCAACAAAACAAAAAAAACAAAAGAGTTTTAGGAGACTTTTTGGAGAAGTTTTAAATCATACAAGTAAGGCAAAGAAGTGATTGTGTTATGGAGACTGGATGGTACGGACACATTCAGGTTAACACTTGTAAAAAGCTCAGGATGCATGTAAATGGACTTGAGCTTGCACAGCACATTTCTTGTCTTCTGACTACTCAAATCACTTTTACACCGCAGGTCACACCTACCCATTCCCACTGATGGTAGAGGTTTTGATGTAAAGTGAACAATAGCACTATTCGACATTCATACACATTCATTTGCCGCCGATGAAGCAGTTGGAGCAAATAGCGGTTAACGTCTTTGCTCAAGGACACATCAGACATGTAGCTGCAGGAGCTGGGGAGCTGGGGATTGCATATCCCACCTTCTGTTTAGGAGATGATCAACTCTACTAACTAAGCCACAGCTGCCCCAAGTGGAGTGCCAGGTGTAAACAGGGCCTCAAAAACACACTGTAGGGAAAATGTTGTGTATTTAAACAAGCCCACAAACACTTCAGGTGAGAGCAATCCCACACACACCTCACACGCCCACGTCTGTTTACCTGGAAGATGGCATACATGATGCAGCTGAGAGGTCTGTTGTTGGAGAAATCGGCTACTCTGAATATGTTAAAACTCCACTTGTCTAGATCCTCCAATTCCTGCTCGGACACAACACAAACAGACATAATGTGTTTTTATGAGTCAGAAACCCACACGTTTAGAAAACAAAAATATACCTAACATGCATGTTTTAAGGGTCCTCTAGAGCAAACTTTGAAACAAACAATCATATCAATACCAGTATAATTAAACCAGTATTTGAGTAGTAGCTCGAGAGCTGGTGCAAACATGGAACATTTTATTTAAAAATGTGGCAAAAAAGAAATAACTGGATTTCTTTCTTCTGTGAAAATGTCCTGATTGCAAGGTTCAGACTGTTCATGGACAGAACAATCAATGGAAAAATCTTTCTTGGTATTTGGCTAATTGCTATTTTAATTTTATTTCAATACTTTCTGACATTTTATAAAACAATCTATAAGCATTAACAATTTTAAGCAATAAGTTGTATCAAATAAATGTACAGCAGGACATTTCTTCTTTAGTTTCATTATGATACTGAAAAAGCTTTAGAACTAAAACACAAAAATAAATATAATCTTTACTTTACTGCTGGAAGGGAAAATCAAGCCAAGATACAAGTAAAACCACACACAAAAAACTCTTCTGGTGAGCTTCTGAGGTCCTTAAAGATGACCTTTAATTTGAGATTATGTAAATGTTTTCAGCCTTCACAGAGCTCAGTTCAAGTCTGGATAGGGATTGATTTTTGTGACTTGTTTTGAGTGAGTCAGAGTAAAATAGACACATCCAGACCTTGGCTAGTTCATCCTCGTGGTCCGTGTTTACACCAAAGCGAGGCATGGAATTGCTAGAGAGGCTGGAGCTGTGAGACAGTTTCCTCACTCCACTGATGTGACTCATAGATTTGTCTTTCAGGGTCGGAGACGGGATTTCAACCTCGTTCTGCTTGTCTATGGATTGATGGACATAAACATACAGAGGGATTTATGGTTTTTTATTCGGCAGAGTGTCACAGATGATGTGTAGACAGAAATCATGATTCCGGTCCTTCTCACCCATGAAGGTGCTGGAGATGTATTCAGACACCTGGTTACCAGAGCGACTCATCTCTGACAAGTGGGACAGCTCCCGGTTCAGCATCCTCTTAAACTGTGGCAGAATGAGAGCAAAACAGAGACACAACTCAATGATGTACTGATCACTTCACTTTTTTGAGATGAAAATTGTATATTCATTTTAAATAACACCCAAAGAATTACAATGATTTTAAGTACGGTAATCATATTTGACAAATGCTTAACATTTTTATTTTTTATAATCCCATGCAAGCCTGCTGATGTGTAGGTTAGGTGAGGTCCTTGTACCTTGTTTGAGGCCATCTCACTGACAGAGCGGTGTGTCTGAATGGTCTCCAGCTGGTCCAAACACCAGTCTAGCTCCTCAAGTGTGTCGAGGGCAAGCTGCTGGTACTGCTGGTCTGATAGCGACGCCCTGGGACTGACGCACACCCCACCCAGAGGAGACCTCCTGTTGAAATGACAAAAAAGTAAGTAACCATCTCACCTTGTTTAAATTCCTTTGTAGAAAGTTTTTTTTTTCAGATTTATAGTAATATATTTCTGAAGACAGTAATTGCAGCCTATAGAAATTATAATTATCATTATTATTTAATTTAAAAACTTGTATTGTTTTGAGGCACCGATAGCCAAGCGGTTATGTCGCGCGCCACATGTACAGATGCTATAGTTCTCAGTGCAGTGGCTGTGGTTTCTAATCTGACCTCTGCCATGTGCTTCATGTCATCTTCCACTCTCTCTTCTCCCAATATTTCCTGTCTTTCTTTAGCTGTCCTATCTAATAAAGGCCAGAAAGCACTTTTTTTTTACAATATAAACAAAGAGTCAACAGCAGAATAAGCTGTTTGGCATTGGCAGAGAAGATTTGGCAAGTTTTTCATGGGCGCAACCCACATACTTGGCTCTGCTGCTTATCCCACAAATGCAAATATAAGATGTATTGCCAAGAAGCATTGCTAAAACAAAGAAATAATCTACCAAACACAAATTTCCTTACTTTTTGTTCCATGTTATGTTCTACTGTCCCAATCTCAAGTCAAATTATTTATTTATAGTAGGAAGTGATATTTGAAAGTCTGAAATACATCTCTGACTGGTTTCCCAAATAACAACATAATATTCCGTGCATAACTGAAACATTTCAGAACATTAGTTGGTACTGACTTGACTGTCGGTGTTGAGACGTTGGCAAGAATGGTGAAGTTGCTCCGTACTGATCGCAGACTGGCAAGAACCTAAATGATCAAAGAGTATCTCAGTATATAATAACAAGGGAACAAATACAGATATAGATAAAGATAAAGCAAAGCATGAAGTGTAGTATCTAAGACTCACTTGGGCAAAAGGTGTGACAATGAAGTCCTCTCCAGTGTGCCTGAGATAGTTACAAACAAGAGAGGAAGCAGTGATGATAGCACAGGAGACATTAGGGTACACACATGCAAACTGTCTCTCACGCATTCTCTTTGTTTATCTGCATGAGTCTCACTCACCCTTCGCTGGCAAGGGAGGAGTTTCTTGAGACTGTCTTGGGCGACATGTCGTAGTCCGAGTCAGAGCGGTAAAGGAAGGACTCTCTCCTTTGGCCCTGGGGGAAGGAGGGGTGCAGGGTGAGGCTTGGACTCTGAGAACCCAGCGGTGTGTGACCTGGTGACACGCCATTTTCTGCTTCGTAACTGGAGAGAGAGAAGAAGGGAACATTTAAAATGTTACCTGCAAGAGTAAAGGAAAATGTTTTGGAAAAAAGATGTTTGATTGTGTGCAAACCTGTCGGAGTCTGCTTGTGTGATGGAGATGCGTGGTGGAATGCGGAGGGGAAGAGTTGTAGGACGCGAAACGTTGTTCAGGACCTCTGGCGAACGAGTTCGATCTCGAGGGCGGAGCCAGCAAGGCACCTGTAGAATAAGAAGGAAGGACTTGTTGAGAATAACTGCCACTAGGTGCTTAATAGGTAAGCAGCATAATTTTAAAACAATACTTTATCTTCTTTTATATGGGTATTATTAGATCAGAAAAGCAATAAATGGACAGCAAGGTGGGGGGAGAGAGGGAATGACATGCAGCAAAAAGGGTTGAGATTGAAATCAAACCAAGGTCACTGCGGTAAGGACTCAATTAATAGGAAAAGAAAAAAACTAAATAAAAAACTAATAATAAAACTAATTTAATAAAACTAAACTAAAAACTAAAGAACCAAAGATGTAGCTGATGTCTGGTAGAATAAAAAAACACACGCATTTCCTTATACAGGACCAAAATGAATGGAAGCCAATGTATCTCTGCACTGGCAATAACAACTAATACAAACCACAGTATTATATTTTCTTAAAAGATTAGCGTGTTTTTATTATTTGTAAATATTGTGCTACTTTATTACTACATTCACATGAGGTGGGGGCCGGGGGACACTTTAACCACACAGTCCCAAAGTAGTTGAATGCGCACATGCTTCCTTTACCGTACATACCTGGAGACTAGATGACAGCCTTCTGCTCCTCCCTCTGCGTAGCTCGGCCCCCAACGTGGCTCCAGACGTGTAAGATCGGCTGTAGCGAGATGACTCCGCCTTCTCCACTGCACCTGTGATATCTGTGTCATTCCCCTGAGAGAGAAGGAGGAAAAGGTGAAACAGATGAAACACTTTTTTTATTTTTCTAAAATAATAAAGAAAAGCATTATACTTAAAATAAAAATTAATAGTCAGAAAAAAAAAAAACTTTTATCAAACCATGTTGACTTGCAATATTCTGATTCTGAAAAGGACAAAAAGTGTGTGTGTGTGTGTGTGTGTGTGTGTGTGTGTGTGTGTCTGGGATAAGGCCTCTACAGACCGAGCACTAAGAGGCTGATCTGCACTGCAGTACCGTAGCAACAAAACACTAGGGGAATGGTAGCAGTTGCTAGGCAACAGTGCCGTGTTGCTTCCATGCTGCGCTTGATGTCGTCCAGAGCCAGATGTGGAAAGATGCTTGCACATACACATACATTTCACACACAAGATACACAAAGCCACTCATTATCAATAAAAGAGCGGCTAAAGGATTAATGGTATCGTCTTTTTTGTTATGATATCTTTAATATATAACAGGAAATTTACATAGAGGACATATTTAGCTGAGGCTCATTTAAATAAAGGACTATGACTCACTGCCTTCACACTGTGTGAGTGGAGGCTGGAGGAGACAGACTGACCATCCGACTTCAAGTGCGTCCACAGACCTTGACAACAAGAACAAAGGGAGCCTTGGATGTGTGAAAGTCATGGGGTCTGTGTGTCATGTAAGGATTCAAGGAAACACTCACACACAGATCAGTCTGACTGTCAGCTCTGCCTTGAATATACTGTCGTAGAACAAATATTTTGGGATTTTTTTGTGTACACATCCCTGGTTGTTTATATTCTCCCTCTCACCTCTTCTCCAGTCACAGACAGCACGCTGCGGCTCTTCTTCATCCTGATTGGCTCGTTCTGGGCCCCAGGGCGGAGCGTTCCTGAACCCAGGCAGCAAAGCAGGTGGAGAGCCAGGACCGGAGAGGTCAAAGGTCACTGCAAGGTCAAACCGGGGTCAGACCGGGTCACAACCGGCCCCCATTGGAGCTGACTCAGCAAGCCAACCGCCTCTGTCTGCACCTCGGTCCTCAGGTGGCTGAAAGCATGCGTCCAAACCTGACGCTAAAGTGCTAATGTTGCATTTAAGCCTCCCGCAGAGGCTCCAGGTTCAGTCTGAGGTGGATGACCTTTGTTTTGATCAATTTATTTTGGAAGAAATGAGATAAAAAAACAAATATCTTACTCCATTTTAAATTATGCTAGGAGTTTCCAGGAGAAAAAAAGTCCTCTTGCATATTGTCTTAATTTGGCCAGATGAAACAAAGGGATAACCTGGTAAGAGATCATGATGTCCCAGCTAAAGGAAAGCCCTTCAGAAGTTTCTCACCATGAATATCCAACTTGGAGTATTGTTTGCATGACATTTCCAAACAGCACACACAATCCCACATGAATGCAGTTTCCCAACCATTAATAATCCAGATCCAGTTTGGGAATGGATTTGCAGCCAGTCTCGGATCAGTTTTCCATTGCCTGCTCAATCAGTTAAATCCAAAGTCTGCATAGAGATTAGTCCGAATGTCAGAAACCAGGTTTGATATGCTGGGATCCATCCTTGAATCTTTCTCAGTGTGTCCTCTTCAGTGTAGATTCCCTGTGGGGGAAAAAAAACAGAACAGAAATGGTTAGCTGATTCTCTGAGTCATCTTTTGTTAGAACTATCTGTCCTGTTTCCATTAAATTATTCCTTTTGATGAATTGTTGAATATAAAAAAACCTTAGCCAATGTAAACAGTACTCCACCTGTACGGTAGATTGATGAAGACTTTTCAGTAAAAAATAAATCTATTTGTTTTTCTTATATTCTTGTGCATGAAAAAACAACAGAAAAAAAATCACAATTTGTTGACTCATGTCCTGACAAATGATTGGTCGACTCATAAAGGGGGCAGTCCTGACAAATATTTTGGCATTGCAGGAGCTGTACCTACATTGTGGCTAATTCTGAGCAGATACCGCAACACCAAAGCTGTCTGATGTTATATAATTACTCTGAGCAGTCCGAGATGACCTCATTCCATTGGATAGGACAGCTTCAGCATGTCAGGGTGTTTCTGATTGAGCTGGTAAACAGACAGGTAGTGAAGTGGAAACGACTTTTAGCAGGGGTCATGAACAAGCACACACCCACTCAATGAAGGCACTCTCACGCCAGAGTCTGCATACATGCTCAGTTAAAAAAAACAAAAAACAAAAAAACAGTGTGGAGAAATCAACAAATGTGACAGTGAAATACAATCAGGCAATTAGGAATTTGAGCACATATGGCTGCCAACAGTTCCACCTCCTCTACGGATGAAGCAGCTTATAAAACCCAGCAGCAATGCATCAAGCTGCCAGCCAGCCTGCTCCTCTGTTAAAAAAAACACCCAAATATATATATTTCTATCTGAGAGGAAGACAGTGAATCCATGCAGACACGAGGACAGCCCTTGCCATCATGCCTGTTTGCAAGCCCACTGCATGAGATATGTGTCAGACACACACACACACACACACACACACACACACACACACACACACACACACACGCACGCACACTCAAACACACACACACACACACACATACACACAGGGTCAGGCTGCAGCATGTAAAGAATAAAAACACACTCACCTTGATCGCCTCAAGATCAATGGAAAGATGGGCTGGACCTCGTCTACTTGCTTTCACTCGTCACCTTCCCCGCTGCCTCTGTCTCTCTGCAGACGATCAGTGTGTCACCACGGTGCGAGGAAAAAAAAAAAAAAAACACTTGCCGTCTTCATGAATATCCGCGGCTTCACCAGCCTCCCTCCCTCCTCCCTGTCTCTCCTCTCCTCGCTCTCCCCTGCTACAGTCAGTGGTCTCCCCCAGTCACCCCCCACCAACTCCACCAAAACAGCCTCTGTGGAGAAGCCCATCTCCCTCCCTTCGCAGACACACACACACACACACACACACACACACACACACACACACGCTGTGTCCATTAATCTCATACAACAGCCTCACTCCTCCTCTGTCCATCGGTACCCCCATGCTTTTTTTTGCCCCTTGATAGCAACTACACGCAGATTCTGTGCTTCAATAGTCACGCGTGATGCTCTCCATTATTCACCCACACACACACACAGAGCACATTAATACGGGAACACCGCGGTCATATCAACAGGGATCCATGGTTCCTGTTATTCTGCTTTTCTTTCTGCTGTGTCCTTAAACAGTCATTCAAGGACATGCAGCACTTGTATCCATTAGGAGCCATGAAGCAGGAGTTATGCTTCTCCCTTTCTTTAAATGTCGATCAAAAATAGATGTGTAGATTGATACTTAACAAGCAAAAGCTGGAGAGATAAAATCAACAAGCTTAATGTGTTCAAGATACACTATGAATTTACAGAGCAAAAGACAAGACATGTGGTCCATTTATTCAGCTCATTCATTTACTTCAGCTTAGCTCATTCATTTAAAACTTTAATGTCAGAAAAAAGTGGATAATTTCCATCAGGGTATACATTTATTCTCCTACATGTTTTATTGTTTGTTGTTATTGCAAATCCTCACATTTGAGACGCTGCCTAGAATCACATTATATTTGTCCCTTTCGCTTGAATAAAGCTTGATTTATTAAGGAAGATATGTTTTACAAGTGACTAGTTGGTCGTAAAATAAACAAAAGTAAAAACAATAAAAAGGAATGGCTGACCAAAGATTCTTCAACATTTATTGAATTGCTAGAAATATCTGAGAAAATGTACAATAAAGAAACTTGTGATTTTTTCTTCTTGATCAAGCATGCAATCAATAATCATCATTTCAATCTGAAGTGATGTCTTGATATCTAAAATGTTTGGAGAACTTTTTGACATCCTCTTACATGAGTATTGACTTGAGTTTTTGAGCAAGTAGAAGACCTTCCTGTCGTATTAGTTTTTTATTGAATATTTGGTCACCATCATGTTTGGGCTGCTTCTTTGCATAATAAGTGCTAAACAGATGAAGCTATAATTATTATTGAACAACAAAAAAAATATTTTTTGTTTTTGAATGAATAACAGTGTAGGCGCCAATCAGATTTCAAATCCTGAATACTAAGGAATAATGCATTTGGGACTGATATACATACAGCTTTTTAATTTATTGATTTTTATGAGTTTTATACCATATAAAGCATTACCCTCTACTTATGATGACTTGTTAATTTCTTGACCGTCTGTTCTTTTTTTTAAAATTGTTACTTTTTAATTTTTTTTTAAAATTATGACACAGTTTTTAAGTTTTTGGGTGTGTGTGTTGGGGGGGGGCTGTCCTTTCCAAAATCATACTTGCCAACTTCAGCTTGTTCAGTTCTTGTTAAAACATTGAAATTCACTGACCAAAAAAGACCACACATCTCTAGATACATGGAAATAAACACACTCGAGCAGTTCTGCATGGAGCTGTGGGGCCTCTCTGTTCCACTCCCATCGGCTTTTATAAGCATTATCGAGATTTGATTTATGCCCCAGGCCTGCGCTGATTGTTTTCTATTTACAAAAGTGACTGCACAAAGAAGCTTTGCCTCAGAAATCCTGCACATAACCACTAAATCAAACCCACCAATTAATTATAAAGGAGAGAGAGAGAGAGAGAGAGGGAAAGAAAGCAACCCAGCAATTAATTATATAAGTGAGAGCGATTGAGAGCAGCAGTAAGGCAGAACACCAGGCAGGATTCACAGCAACTACAGTGGAAAAGTTCATAAATTAAACACAAACTAAGACTGATTTATTGTGGATGTTAAAAACTCCACAAAAAATACTCTGACAATAGTTTCTGTATATTGTTACATTACTCATATATTGCCTATTTCTATATTTCATTACCAATATTATGTTATTACAACAATTTTACAACAAAGCAGCAATAAAAACTTTATTCTGGATTTACCTTCAAATGCATTTTAATCTACATTTTGGAGTTCAATCTATATTAATTGACGACCGTATAGTTTTTTAAAAAAAATTATATAATATTTTAAGACCATTTTAATTTTCTGTCCCACATTCCTAACATGCAACAGTTCATAAATGCTTTTGTTTTATTTGGTTGTACTGGACTTTATTTACACACACACACAAGTTTAAAAAAACTGTAACATCCCATCCATATTGCATTAATTTGAGGTTTTCTCTGGAGGTCTGCAGAACCTAACTTTGAGGCCACTTGCAGACTGGATAGACTGTGGTGGGTTTTGAAAATCGTCAGCATTCAGGTTTCTTAAGAAAGTCTGCAGGAGCTTCGAAGACTTCAGGACTTGAGGATTCAAACTCAGAGTGTTGACCCACTTTGTTTGGGAATACAACACTCAGTTTGAGGATAACTAATACCAGCTCATATTGAATTTTAAATAGCCTGCCAGTGGTCTTATATTTCATCAACCACAAAATTTTATGAGATAAGTTGATGGATTGTTGTTCACCATACAGACTTCTGATGTAATTTATGGGCTGTCGTTCTCCAAACAGCCTGAAGAGGGCACTGTTGGCTACAGTAAAACAGCAAGAGCAGGCAGTTGATTTGATCAGCACATAGTCATGAATTGATATTTAACTTTGTCAGCTAAAATATGAATCATTGACCTTTTTTGTATCTTAAAAGTTATACTTTAGAGGTGCAATATCGTCCGTTAGATCTTGCCCAGTAGCTTAATCTGAGTTAAAGGAGTCAAGTGTTGTATTGCGGATTTGTATGAAATCAGCTGATTCTTGTGATAGAACTTCTGGTTAAAGGAAAAAATATAGCTTTTTTTTAAATGTATAAAGTATAAACATATTTGTTTTGGCATTGTTTGTGCCTTGTACCCGTTTATTTCAATAAATAATTTAATAACTTCAACACGCTCAGTCAACTACCAAGCAGTATTGACTTTCAAAGGTCACGTCGGTCAAAATAAAAGCAAAAAACAGGTGTATCGAATTATTCCACTTCTTTATCACAACTCATGTATGTTCCTCCTTCTCTGATTAATCATCTTCATCGTCTTCATCATCTTCGTCATTGCCCTCTTCTGATTCAGGCACCCACAGTCCAGACTTAATGCACCTCGTCAGATGGTACTTTCCTTCCTGTAGAAAGAAAGAAAACACAGTAACGTCTGTTCAAGACAGAATGAGTGCATTAACAAGCTTACATGTTGGTTGAATTTTGAGCCAGTCAAACAATTTCTGGTTCTCTTTAGGTTGATTTTATTGACCAGCATTTACATTTACTTTTTGTTTTAGGATGAGACTCAGCTGCAATCACACTCACCAAAGGGTGTAGTTTGTTTATAGCTTCCTGCAGCATCTGAATGTTCTTCTCATCAAAGCTCCTCTGTATTTCCTGTGAAATGAAACACACCAAAGTGTTTATGAGGTGCTGAGGCAGCACTTAAATCAAAAAAAAAAAAAGAAAAAAAAAAAAACTTCAATGACAATCACACCAGTTTATGATCACTTCCACCCAAAAACAATTGTCCTTAGTGGAAAAGTGGACTTTATGTCATTAAATCAAAATGCTTCATGTCTGTGAAATCAATTGAGACTTTAAGCAATCTCATAACAAAGCTAAACGAAGAGCTATGTATAAATGCTGTTTGCCTTGCACAGTGAGCTCATGCCTGACTGTGGGAGTCAATTCTGCTAAGCTGTGTATTGACTACTCTGATTATCCAAATGGCAGCATGGTTCATATCGATAGACTGCACAAATATTTACTTCCAAAACTACTGTTTTCAAATCTGTGAAAAACGGCAGCCTCTCTCACCAGACTCAACTGTCAAAATAAAAACATAATGTAAAGTACATTACTCGTAACAAGCAGTTTAATCTACAAAGAAAACCACATTCACGATCGTTTGACAGATAGATAGATAGATAGATAGATAGATAGATAGATAGATAGATAGATAGATCTTTTGTGGTTTGTCATGAGCTTATATTCAACTGATTTTATTTTTAAATTTGACTTAATATATTAAACACAATTATTTGTTTGTATTGAAATTATAACCATTGACAACTACAGTAATACAAACACATGTTACAGATAAAAAAAAGAAGTAACCAAACCTGTTTTAAAAATATGACAATTTAATATTGGATGTCCCAGGACAGACATTCCATTCTTTGTAAATCACTGTCTATAACAGGACCTCAGTGTTTGCTTGCATGTGTGTGTTTACCTTTGGCAGTGTTTCATAAACCTCTACAGGGTCTAAACCACCTGGGCCCAGTCTCTTCTGCTTCTCCTCTTCCTCTAGCTCCTTCATAGCGCTCTCCATACGACTCTGTGCACAGCTGCGGATCCTTTTCTTCAACAACTCCAGTTCATGGTCGAACATGTCCAGGTATTGCTTGTCCGCAGTCTGACAAAAAAGGAACGTTTAGTTTAACTCCAAAAACCCCACAAATATACCAAAAAATACAACATGGCTACAGGTGTGAGTAAGTATGTTTTGCAACCTTAATCTTCGAGAAGAATTCTCTGAAGCATCCTCTTGGGTCGACTTTTAGCGTCCGAGCCAAATCCAAGATGAACTGCATGACTATGGCCTGGTGGGCCACCTGCTCCATCAGAGCATGTTTCTGCAAGTACAAAGATTCTTTAGATGGCTTCATGTGATGTTGTTTTTTCACTTTACATGTACAAACTTTTCTTACAGCACTCACCTCATCGATCTCATAATCAATACAGATGACAACAAGGCAATTAGCAGTTTCTTCACACACCAGATGTGGGTTATCTGACAGATACTTCTGACTGTCATCCCAGCGATGCAACATACCTGGTGCACAACACAAGCACATCCAACTTAAAGCCATAATCAAATTCAGCTCCATTCATATTCAAATCCAAGCATTTTTTAAGTTTATTAATACTTAAACTCATCTTGGTCATCTTATTACAGAAAAACTAACCAATGATGATCTTTACAGGAAATGTTGCAAGATGTTTGCATAAAGCAAATGCCCTTGCTCGAAGGTTTAGTTTGTGTTTGGATGTCGTGAAGATGTCTCTGTTTAGAGCATTATTGTACACCTTTGAAAACTGGAAACTTATGGACAAATTAAGAAAGCAAGCCTGCAGACACTACAAGCAGCTCATAATGATGATAAAAAAACAAGATGATGCAGTGCAGATGTGTGAGATGTTTGTGACTGCCTGAGTCAATACTCTCCAAGCTGTCTTGCGTAATCTTGTGTATGAAATGATTTGCCCTCCTGGTACCTCTGAGAATTAAATCATCTTGGTTCTGTCCAACATCAGATACAGAACAGTCCATTATCAGTCCCAGACAGTTATGGAGACATTGGTTCTGATGCCAGATTAAATTCACTAAGTCGGTGATCATAACACACAGTATTCTGCATAATGGCTGTTTGAACAAACAAATCTGAACATATTTATGATAACTGGCTGTAGTGCCAATTCAACATTTAAGAGTCACGGTACGATACTGATCCCTTTTTTTTCCTGTAAATAAATTATGAAAAAAAAATGATGTGCTTTGTTGATGTTGTCTTTTATCTGGACCTTGAGTCTGTAATAACCTTTGAACTGAAAACATTGTAATGTGACTTAAGCTTCTTTCATTTTAACTTTTCTTTTTTTAAAACTGACATTTTGAATACCTCAACATTATATTAGAGCAATGTTTACAAAGTAGAGTCTCTATTTTAGAAAATCAGGGTAAAACGAGCAAATAAATACTGAGAACATGTCAATATATGTATAAATATGTATAAATAACACAAGTATGAGAACATTTTGCCTTATATCAAATAAAAATGACATAAAAGAAATAAACTCATGTAATGAATGTCACTCTCTGAATAACATGGTATTGCAACAATAACATATTAAAGAAATACCACAATCAAGCAGTTGGACAAACTACAGCAAAAAGGTAGATTTATGTTGGAGTATTAAAAAATATTTGACCTTGCTTTGCTATTTTTTGACAGCCTATGATACAATAAAATTTATTCATGAAGAGGAGTAAACAGACTGGAAAACACATACTGACTTCTTGTCCTCTAATTGCTCACATGTGACACTAAAACTATTAATATCAGTGAGTGTTTGTGGTGCTCTGGTCTGTGAAAGGAAGGAGCGCTCAAAGTTTTAAAAGCCACCAGATGTTAACCCGTGTTTGCTGAGTTTGTGGTCCTGCAGTTTTTGTAGCTCACATACAAAGAAGGGCCAAAAGCGTAGCATGGCTTCATCCGTCCATCTCCAGTTCTCACACATACATATATAAAGCACTGCACTTGAAGGCAACACATGACGTAGAAATAAAAAAAACATCATGTTCAACCATTTTAACCCTGACATTCCCTCTCATTAATACATACAAAGATTAAATTAGTATGTACATACCAAAGTCTGTTATTAGGCTGTGCTGCAGTAACCAAGAGCTATCAACCAATGACCACTAAATACACAGGGGGGTGTTGGTGGAACGACTGGGTTAGGCACAAGCCCTGTCTACATTTGTTTATTATGCTATTTGAATGTAACTGGGAATACTTCTTTATTTATTGATAGTCTGGATGGAGTGTCATTTTTTACACAAAGGGCAACTGAGATGTTTGATCTCTTTAAAAGATTTATAAATGAGAAACATTTCATTTACGTCAATTGAAACTATTTAGAAATAGTACTATTTTTATTCGACTCTTTATTTTTTTAATGAAAACTATTACTAAAAGTGGAATGTAGCTGTTTAGATTTCCGTCCTTGCACTTATTTGCATGATAACTGGGTTCTTGGGTTCACTTCGCTTTAGTGTGTGCCGGTGTTATGGCTGTATGTTTCCCTGTAGTGTTTGTCGCTCCTCCCCTACTGTAGTCTCCAGCTCTACCCAGATGAAGCTACTGAACTCTATAAGTGGAGCGCCTGGTCAGAGGTGCTGGTTCAGGAGGAGAGAGGCTTTTGGAGTAGGGACTGCTCAGCAAGAAACTGTGTTTTGTTGTGTTTATTTAAATTAGTATTTGAGTTGATCTTCGTTTCCCACTAAGGTGAAGGTTGTCTCTGGTAAGAAAAAAATCTCCATGGAGAAATTCGACACGGGTAAGAAACGGAAAGAGATTGTCGAAAAGCTGAACGCAGGTGGCGTAAAACTAATCTCCAGATTCATTATGACATCTACAAAAAGAGACTTCACATTTATAATTCACAACTGAGGAATGCAAGGCAATCTTTCTTCTCTGACATCATCACCAGAAACAATAATAATGCTTGTGCCCTGTTTGCTACTGTCGACAGGCTAACAAACCCTCCTGTGTCAGGAGCATCTGAATTTCATTCTAGGGCCTGTAATACATTTTCCACCTTCTTTACTGAAAAAAATCCAAAAAATTAGACAAACTGTCAGTAACCCATCATCAGGATCAGGACATGTGCTATGTCCATTTAAAACCAACATAAGCCCCATGACACAATTTAATCAAATCAACCTTAAAAACCTGGAGGACATTATACAACAAATAAATTCCTCCTCCTGCTGTCTTGATATTCTGCAAACAGGTTTTTTCAAAAAAGTTTCCCTAGTCATGGCTCCAGATCTGTTACAAATTGTAAACCTGTCTCTTCTCTCAGGTGTCTTCTCACAGGCCCTGAAAAAACAGCAGTCATCAAGCCACGATTAAAAAAGAACAATCTGGACAAGTCAATAATGAACAATTACAGGCCGATATCAAATGTTCCTTTTTTAAGTAAAATAATCGAAAAAGCAGTTTTTCAACAGTTAAATAACTTCTTGACACTGAGCGACTGTTTCGATGTCTTCCAGTCAGGTTTTAGACAAAATCACAGCACTGAGACAGCTCTGGTTAAAGTGTTTAATGACATCCGTTTAAACACAGACAGTGGCAGAACCTCAGTCTTAGTTTTACTTGATCTCAGTGCTGCGTTCAACACAGTTGACCACAATATATTACTCGACCAACTGGAAAACTTGGTGGGAGTTTCTGGCACAGCACTAAACTGGTTTGAATCCTACTTAAAGGACAGGGACTTCTTCGTGTCTATAGGTAACTTCAAATCTGAGCAAACAAAAATTACTTGTGGAGTTCCCCAAGGTTCTATACGCAGACGACACACAAATATATATTACAATGTCACCAGGCAACCATGGTCCCATAAAAGCACTGGGTAAATGCATAGAGCAAATCAATGAGTGGATGTGCAAAACTTTTCTCCAGCTAAACAAAGACAAAACTGAGGTTGTTGTTTTTGGAGCAAAGGAGGAGCGACTAAGAGTCAGCAATCAGCTTCAGTCAGTAAGACTCAAAACCACAGACCAGGCAAGAAATCTGGGTGTAGTGATGGACTCAGACCTCAATTTTAAAAGCCACATTAAGACAATTACAAAATCAGCCTACTATCATCTGAAGAACATATCAAGAATTAGAGGACTTATGTCCCAGCAGGACCTGGAAAAACTTGTCCATGCTTTTATCTTCAGTCGTCTTGATTACTGTAACAGTGTCTTTACAGGTCTGCCTAAAAAAATCAGTCAGACAACTGCAGCTGATCCAGAACGCAAAAATACATTAGTGACCTCCTGATTAATTACAAACCATCCAGACCGCTCAGGTCGTCTGGGACAGGTCAGCTTACCAAAGTGTTTGATTTCCTTTGAATACTTCTCCACAAAAGTCTTGTGCTTCTCCACCTTTTCCTCCCCAGTTTTCTCCTCAGTCACAGGCTTGATGTTGAGAACACTCTGGTGAACAAGATTTCAAAACACAAACAGATAACTCAGCATGCTTACAAGTAAAGTGACACTAAATATTGTGACCTTGATGACCCTGGCTTACTTTGCTGAATCCTTCTTTACTGAGAGTGTCCACATTCCAAGGCAGTTTCTTTTCTTCTCGTCGGTATTCTTCGATGGATTTTTCATATGACTTTTCATCTTTTTTCAGTTTTTTCAGCTCAGCCTGGACCCTTTTCAACTCAACCTCTCTCTCCTCGTCCTCCTCGCCCTCCTGCTTTTCTTCTTCCAGCTTTTTAAGATGTCCCTGGACTTCCTTTATAAGGGTCTTGCATTCTGCAAAGTTAAACTCCAGGTCTTCCCCTCTCTGCTGAAACTCAGCCATTTTCTCCTTCCTGGACTGTTATGGAGAGTGCAAAGAAGTTAAGAAATGAAAATAAATATAAAGACCAAAATTAGAAGTTATATCGATAAAACAAATATGAGACGAGTTGAGAAGAGGATGTTGGAGGGAAAACACAAATTTAAAAGATGCGCAAAAGAGAAAAACAGACTTAATACAACTAAGAACTTATATGCTTCTTTTTTTTTTGATGGTAGGACTTTCTCAGGAGCCAGACCAGTATAGCCTATTGGTAAGCGGTTAGAATAGCTGATGTTGACCAATCAGGGAAATATTGGTATCGTCATTTTTGTTACCATATATACTGATTCTGAAATTTTTTGCAGAACATAAAATAAAGAGAAGTGCTAGACGTTATTTAGATACTGTCTCATAATGAACTTTGTTCAGCAGAGAAACTTGAACTCTGACCCCATGCTTAACAAAACTCATAACCAAATCCCATATTGGTCCGGCTTTGTTCTTTTTATTTTAATATCATTAATTAATCAGAATCTGATGTAGGACAAGAATTTCAAATATCATGGGAACTAGTTAATAGAATAATAACAAAATAAATACATCTGTAGAGCATCTGTTAGAATGACTTTTTCAGCTTCATGTGGTCATCAAGAACCCAAACATGTTGAGACGCCCGCATGCATTAGTTAAAAAGAACAATGATGGTAAACCTCATGCGACAGTAGGCCTTTAGAAAATCAAACATATTAGCAGATTGCATTATTCTGCCTTTCCCACCTCTCACTCAGCAAACTTTGATTCCTTGCAGACATCAGATTTTTATTAAAATCAGGAAAAACAGATAAGGTAAATCAGAGGTATTCTTAAGACTACAACACAAACTGGAGTCTAAACTCTAGAACCAGGGCCATACTAATGGAGCTTGACCTTGCTGTTCAATCATAATAGATCCATTATTACTTGTGATCTATTGTTACAATCTTTGTTTTTTACAGATGACATCTCTCAGGCTTATGGCAGGTATGTCATAAACCACAGAGCCATTTTCAACAGTTCCCATGTGGACACTTCGAGCCAAAAATGTTGGCTCTCCCTGATCCTGAGGAATGTTGAAAGGGGATATGTGAATGTTTGATAGCATTATTTCTAGAGTCTGAACAAGTAACACAATTATCTGTTTTTAAGTATAAGTACACAACAAACATTGTTATTGAGCCTAAAGTCTTGTTATTTCCTTAAAATATACTAACAATGATATTATAATGCAGAAAAGTTAGCTAGTAAGTGCTCTAACCCCCTAAGCTACACTTTTACAAAGCCCTAGATTCAGCTGTGTCGTCATCCATGAGTGGACAAAGACTGCCATGAAATGCAGTGGAAAGCTCTAGAAATCTGAGCTTTTGGCTTGTCAATGCCATGCAACCATGCAATGTGACTGTAAGCTCTGGAAGCATCTAGTAAGTAGACCTTGAGAATAATATAACTTGAACTTGAGAAAATTGAAAATCAAAGCCCTACAAAACCATTACCAAAACATTTAGGCTATGTATTGCACTTTCCCTTTAAGCCTTGGGATAGCCTATCTTGTATGTTGTCAGCTTGACATTTAATTATACATGCTTGAAGGCTATATAATTTGTCCTTTAAATTGTGTTTTCATTTTCCTTGTAAAGCCTGTTGTAATATCAAATTTATTGTATATTGTAACAGTTATCATATACGCTAACTATTGTTTTAAACTGTAGCAGTATTTTTTCACCTTTATAATATTGTAACTATTTTAATATTGTAACTATTGTTTCAAAATATGTTTTACAATGCAACCTTATGTTACATGTTACAATTGTAACTATACTGTATACAAGTTGTAACTGTTGCTAAAAAAAATAAGGACTTGATTTGGTATATGCTAGAAGATTTCATTTAGAGTGAAAAGGCCCTTTATGGTCACAGAATCAGAAGGTTACAGATTTCTGCATAACACCTGGGCTTGGTCAACTTCTTCCAGAGGTTGTGGCTCTGTGTCACTACTACTAGTAACTCTACCTCTATCTCTACTGAACTCTACCCCCCCCCCCCCCCCCCCCGAACTCTGAACTCTGTCTCTCTCTCTCTCTCCCTCTCTCTCTCCGCCCCCTGCTGACCCCCCCCCCCTTTCCCCTGCATATCACCTCACACCCATCATCCCCCCACCACTCCTCCTGGTCACACACACACACATCTCTCATCCACCTGTATTATTGTATTATAGTTTGTTCATATCACCTCAATAAGTTATCGACCTGTACAATATGTCCATATTCTTTATATTATCTGTAAACTAGTATAGCATGCTCACTGCACCTTAATCTATATATTATAATCCTAAGAATACACTTATATTTATAGCATTTATTTATATTTATAGCATCCCATTAATCCAGCCATCCATATATACCTAATAATTCACTTTTTTTAGTCTACATCTGTAAATTTTGTAATTACTGTACATAGCACAGACTCTTGCACTTTCTGCTTATTTGCACCTCTGGTGAGATGCCAAACCTCATTTCGTTACTCTATACTTGTATATGTGTAATGACAATAAAGTTGAATCTCATCTCATCTCATCTCAACTAGCCTACTGGTAACTAGTAACAAGTTGCACTGCTGACCCGATGTCTCATTCGGAATAAGCTCGGTGTGTCGACGTACGGACTGGTAACATCTTCATCGTCCGACACATAAATGTGATCCCACACGCTGTAGTCGATGCCCGCTTTGGTGCTCATCCTCCAGCTCTTCTTCTTGTTCTCCTCAGGTTTTCAGTGCCAGTTAAAAGTTCAGTGGAAGATGGGGGAAAAATGCACTGCTGTTGAACTACAAACGAGACGGCTTCAGTCGCTACACAAGCCAGAAACTGATAGTTTCCCAATCCTCTTAGCGAGGGAGGGAAGCTACAAGCTGTTTACAGAAATCCCCTTTCTACAGGCTCCTATAATCCAATCAATGCACGTCATCAAGAAGCGCTAGTTGAGTCGTACATCTAGGCTATTTATTTGTCTCATTACAACGAAAAAGTCGAATTGTAGGCTAACTGTAACACAATGAAACTATAGTAACACAGTAATTTAATCATATAGAGTGGTGTGTTTCTCTTTCTTAATTTAAAGAAAGCTGAATAACTATTTATTTTGATGAGAAGTTTGTATATAGGCTACAGTATTAACCTTGCTTATAGGCCTATTATAGCCTACATTTATCAATTTCAGTTTGAATGTTTAAACACTGTTATTATGATATTGCTATAGCTGGCATGTATGTTGTCTCAAATCCAAGATTTTTTTCAAGTTCAAAATTCAAACAACAAAACAAGTGTATGAGTTCAAGCACAGAGTGTACTGAATGTACTTTCTCTACTTGCGGACTGGACAAGAGGTCCAGTACAGGATGCACATGTGTTTCCTGGACTGCTTTCAGTTTTAAGCTGCTAGTCGTTTTGTAAACACATCAAAATATTAAGCTCTATTAAAGCTCTGACAGGTCGAATAAAATGAAAGCGGTCATTCCTTTACAATTGAAGGGTTTGTACACACATTACTGCAGGAGATCAGACATAATGGACATGCTTTCAATCCAGTCTCCAGAGATTGAAGAGTCGACTGATCACAAATGTATTCCCTACTGGCATTATCCATGAATGGATGTTTTGATGGATGTACTCTGTAATGAATTCAACATGAACACAAGTCTGATATCACGTATCAGCTTTGATAAAAATAATTTCTTGAAATACAAATCCTGAAGAAAAAAGCTCAAATGTATCTTATCCTCCTCCTTTACTTATCACCTCTTAAGTTTCTTCTTGGCAGGAGAGTAGAGGTGGTATGTAAGGGTGTAAAATAGTTGGAGAGAAACATTTCTGGGATGCATGAACTCACTCCACCCAAGATAAAATCTCTACAGTGGAGTTTCCCGTAAAAGATCAAACAAAACCAAGAGTTCTGGAGGAGTAAAGATAGCCAGGCAATAGAGCATATCATAAACAGGAAATCTGTAATTACTTTTCCCAGTTCTTGCAGCGGCTTTTGGTTTCCATTTTGTCACACTGCAAAATCAATGAGCAAGGCCACAAATAATTCACACATGCTATGAGGCATTTAAGATCAGACTCTGACACTGGATGACAGGAATATGTGACTACGTATATACTTAGAATTAACACATCTAAGAAACAGAAAGCAGTGAATGTTGTATTTTAGTTCGATGCCATTGTAATTACTTGAAATTGCAATGAAATATCACTTAAAGACACTGACTATAGGCTATTGTTTGTACAAAGAGTTTTCACTTATTCAAATAATAAAATAAACAATACGAGCACATCACTACAGTGTTGTATAAACACACACCAATATGGCCAATATGCACAACAGTTGTTGATAATTATAGCATTACACATTTTTCTTTCATTTCACATTTTATATTTCTTAAAAACATATTAAAAATAGCAAAGAAAAATTACAAACAGACAAAGAAAATAACAATGAGAACTTCCTTTTGTTGTGTATTATTTTTTAAGTCCATGTTGGAAAATGGTGTAGGATGAAGTGAAAAAAACTAGTCCTACCCCTTTTTCCTTTTAGGCTTCACCAATGCCTGAGCTTTCAAAATAAAATCATAGAATACAGTTAACTAGCTAAGCAACAAAACACAACAACAAATAGAATATATAACTCACATCAGCTGGTAGACAGTACAGACCTTACATCTTATAGTATTCCATCTTACTCATTGATTCTTCAGTTCTACATCTGTTTCGTATACGTTGGACAGAAACGTGGTTGTAACCCAACAGAGCAGGAAGCAGAGGATCCTTTTACATGTTTTAATTTCTTCACTACAGCTGTTCCATAGATTAATCCACTTTATTGTGATGAAGTTTCACATTGGTTTTCCCAGCTTGTTTTTTGTACATAAATAAACCTCTGAGGTTGTCTTCATTTTCCCTTTTCTTAACAAATCTTTAAATATTGCTTTGTTTTGTTTTTTTTGTTGTTTCCTGTCAAAGCGTCTTTGAGTATTTAGAAAAGCACCATATAAATCAAATTTATTATTATTATTATTATTACTGTTCCGTAACTGTTTATTTTGAACTCTGGACATGATTTGAATAGTTTTGAAATTGACCAGGTCCTTAAGTTTCAATGTATTCAGTTTGAAGAAGAGTGGTTTTGTTGGTTCTGTAAGAGGATATATTCATGATTCTTAGTGCTCATTTCTGAAGAAAGCAAATCGGTACTGTATTTGTTCTGTATGTCTTCCCCCAGACCTCCACACTTTAACTCATGTATGGCAGTATTAAGGAGCAGCACAAAGTGTATAGTGACTGTTGACATATTATGAAAAATAATTTCAAAAAATCAACTTTTTCAGTGTTTTTAAACATATTTAGGTGACCTGAGTGTCAGCCGACCCACAAAATGGGAAATAAATCCATCCAGTCTTTTGATTTTAGTCTGCATAAGTCTTACAGCACAGAGAAAAATGCTCTGTTTCAAATTTGCTCAACTTGTGACATCACAAGTGGGTTTCTGTGAAAAAAAATCCCCTTCCCTCCCCTGATATCGCCAACCAAGGACTCCATCCTCAGCCTAGAACAAAACTTTATGTCTGCCAGGGTCACAAACCTCCTCTGGTGCTTGATTCATGTTATATTTTGACCAAAGCACAGCACAGATGTTTCATTCAAACCACAGGCGACTGTTTGAAAAGGTACAAAAGGGGTATAATGTGTCCTCTATAACAGCACTTTCACTTTATATTGAAATTGATTGAGATTTGGCACATGACAATATTACACATTTTCTCAAGTTCTTTTGGATCTAAACATCTGTATTTATAGACTATTTTCACTCTTGAGGTTTACCTCCTATCAGTTCACATAAGAAACCTGTTTTAATGTGATAAGAGTGAACATCTCAACTTCAAACAGCGTCTTTCCATTTTACCAAACTATGAACAAACAAACTAACAAGTAGTTACTTAAACTCAAATCTGTAAAGTTTACACCAATACTAAAGAGAATGTAGACATAGCTTGTGTAATAACATCAAATATATATTACCCTGGAGCTGAAAATAGTCTTTGACCAAATGCCCTTTTATCCTATAAGAATAATGTTTGATAACAAAACATAGTATCACTCACCAATTCACAAAATACTCTAAGCTATGTACATCCCTCCTTAAACAGTGAACATAGTTTTCAACTTAGCTTTACCGAAAGTACCAAGTTATTTTCTTTTCATTCAGTGCTTAGGATAGACAAATTGTCTGAAGACAAATAAAGACATTTGATCTAAATACAGGACAAAGAGAGAACAGGACAAGGGGGAGTGGGAGATGTAGAAGAGGTTGCTCACTAGGCTCAAACAGGTGAAGTTGTGGCTCATGGTTTGTTTCAGCCACAGGGGAGCCTCTTGACTTCCATTCTTCACGCTACGGTGGGCACGGCAGAATGTGGTGAGCGAAAGCGGCAAACGCTCAAAATCAGGTCGTATTGTCCCGTTCGTTTGTTTTTGTAGTAGCGGGTCCATATGATAACACCAATGATGACAAGCAGAACAACAGCAACTAGTATACCAAGTATAATGTATACGATGTTGTTGGCTGTGAAGAGATGAGTAAAAAAAAAAAAGGGGGGGGAGGGGAATAAAACGTTATTCAACAAAAACAGCCACAACACAGAGATTCCACTGATGCCACGATATCAGATTTTAAACAACCTGTTTCGATACCACAACAACAGTCACAGAAGTCCTATGCACCCAAATTTGGGGAATTTCTCGTTTTTAATGACAAAAACTCTTGTACACTGTTGAAATGGCATTACTCTCTCTCTTTAGCTCTTGGCAGCTGTGTGTTAAAATGTGACTGAAGATCTGTATTTTTTTTTAAGCTTTGGTACTTTTCGATACTATGATTAAAATAATAGTGTTTCAAAACACATGGAATCAAAAAGTATCAAAGTATCACATTTTTAACAACCTTACAAAGTGAAGTGTTTACATGCGTTCCCTGAAATATTTAAAACATTTTTAAAAAGGATGCACTTTTAGAATAATGACTTTAGCTGTTGTTTGATAGATACTAATGGGTAATCATACTGTATATTCATTAATTTTTCAAGCTCCCTGGTTTGGAAGTAGGGAAATGATGAGGCTTTCTTAGATTTCTAACATCTATTCAATCAGAAACCTGGAACCCAGCAATAAGTCAATATAACGACTACTGACAGCTGGTGCATTTTTCCCAGGGTGGTGGATCTTTCTGGCAGATGGAAAGGGATGTACACCTTAGTTTGTTTGATTGATTCTTAAACATAATGGAAATTGTTATTAACAGGCTAACAGAATTAGCGTCTTGATAATTGTAACTATTGTATGTATTAGACTTCACAGTGTTCAGTAAAATAGATTGTGAAGTTAAGAGAAGATAAATGATTTTTTTATCATCTCTACAGTCTAACACTACAGTTGTGACATTGGTCAGAAGTCGATGGCTTGTAGGCAGAATTAATTTGTCATTAATGATCAGCAAATCAAAGGGGCATGCCAAGACACCTGTCACACATTTAGACTAAGGAAGAAAATAGAGTGCTAGGACTGTAACACAATGAGCCCATTTACAGATATGACTTGATTTGTATGTTAGAGTTTAGCCCTGCTAGACCATTTATGCCAGTCGTCCATGATGCAGCATTAACCAATCTGAGCAGGATGTCAGAAGAAAATGGCTACTGTGTGAACGTGATCTATGCAATGATCCCTTCTGCTGTCACGTTCTCACCTGAAAGTAACATGGCTTTTCAGTATTTCTGATTCTGATTTATTTCCTTTCACAACCACATCACTGAAGAGAGGACATGTAAAAATGTAAAACTCACCATGGACTTTCACATGAAACTCCTCAGTGAAGTTCCAATAGCCGTTGCTGACAGTACAGGTGTACTTGCCCTCATGTTCAGCAGCTGCAGATTCGAAAGTGAGGATGCTGCTCCAGTGAAGGCTACCCGATGGAAGCGTCCAGTTGTATGAGGGACTCGGGTTTCCATCAGACGAGCAATCCAGTTTTAGCTGGTTTCCTTCATTGATGGTGATCAACCCTGGATGTTTTGGCACCTGTAGCTTAGGCGCATCTGTGTTTTAACAAAATGTGGGTGAAACATAACACGTCATAGGATTAAAATGGGAGCAATTTTAAAATGTATACATATTAATTTAAACACATATACAATGAGTTATAAAGGAGCAGTGTGGGAGGATACCTCAACATTTTCTCCTATTTCTCCTGATTTATTCACTACTCAGGCATTTGCTTGATATATTTTTTCACAATTAACTGAATACCTTTATTGACGGACACAGATCTATTTAATAGCTATTTTGCAGATCGATACAAAATATGTTATCATATTATTGTATTACAAACATTTGACTGTACAAAAGAAGAGGATGAAGCCTCAGTGTCTTAAACACAATGCCAATGTGGACGTGCCTCAAATCTGCATTCTTCTATTGACCAAAGAAGTCAGTGTATAATGTAACTCTATGAAAAAATGAGACTACTTCTGACTAGGTTTAATAAACCCATGGTCTCATTTGCTCGTTTCATGTCTTCTTCAACACTGAGAGATGATCATTTGGTATTTCCTGATTCAATGTTAGTAAAATTGATGATTCTCTACAACATGTTTAGCTTGTGATTGAGAACTCGCTACCATGTCCCCTCTTAACTAGAACACAAGTGTAGAAATGACTATCTTACCCCTTTGTTCAAATATGGTCACTTCCTGCTTAAAAACTAAGATGGCAACAGCCACAGTGCCAAATTTGAGAATTCAACATGGTTGCCCACAAATCAAAGCTAGACAACACTTGACAAGAATCTACAGTTTGTAAATGTGAATGCAGAGTTGGGTAATTCAAATATGCTGGGTCATGATTACAAACAACTGGTTTTGCATACCAAGTAGTCATGTGACCCATTGCTTCAATAAGTATTCAAGAAATTGATGAAAATCTATTTTTTTCATAACTGAAGAAGATTTTTGTTATCAGACTCACAGTATACAGTGGTAGTCATGTTTTGAGATATCACCACTGGAGGGGGCTGTGGTCCTTCAGGTCCCAGGACAAGCTCTGCTGCACACCAATACGCAGCATCATCTTCACCTTTATGGGGGGTGACGTCCAAAGTATAGGAATGAGTCATTGGTTTTTTCCCATAACTGTTGTTAACCTGTACTTGACCAACAACTGAATGTCCTCTGTAGAAGATTGCCATGACTTTTTCAACAGGAGCAACATTATGTACTGTACACTGCAGAGTGTACGGATGAGCCTCTATCAATGGCCCGGTGTGGTTAGCAAAGCTGATGGACACCTTATCTGGGGGCTCTGTGGAGACAAACACAAAGAGAGCTTGGGTTGAATACATTAATAGGCATATTATTTTGTTTCTCAATGATACAATTGTCACACAAGCAACAGTATTCTGTTAATTTAGTTCATCAGCAGGTTTACTTACTGTATAAGGTTAGGGGCAGGATGGTACAGCACTGGACATCAGGATCATAAACATTCTCAGCAGCCTTATTGTAATAGCACTGGAGACGAGCTGTCCATTCAGTGAAGTTATCAATATTCCAGGAAATTGTGGTTCTGTTTTTTGTTACCTTTCCCACAGAATGCTCTATGTTAAATATTTCGTTGAGGCATTCTTGCTGACATGCATTGCAGATCACAGACGCTGGGTCACCATACTTGACGACAAGCCGGGATGGAGTGAACACAGGTTTATCTGTACAGTTGAAAACTGTAACACAAACAAGAAGAGTGAAGATTTGAGAACTGAATGTAAAACAACTGTCTCAATCCAAAACTGTAATTTTGCTCATATTTATTAAAGAAGCCATTCAGTGTCTATCAACCATAACTTATGTTGTTATAACAGTGTTTCTGTCTGGTCTTTTACTGTAGGACAGTTTTTTTTACTTCCTGATAGCTCTTCCTATTTAGTCTACTCATGGTGTTTCCAGCCAATCTCATCCATCTGCAAACAAACACAATGCAGTCCTGCTAAACCTGCACAAGCCTCAAAATGCTTTAGTTTTACATTGCATTTTTAATTTAGGCCTATTTCTAAATATAGCCTATCATACTTGATATAAATGCCTATAGGTTCTGTTTTTTAGGTCAACATCAATAATGGCTAAGTAAGCCTGGGCACAAAAACACCAAGGAGCCCCATAGCTGACAGAATGCTAAGAAAATATTCAGATTATAAGAAAAAGATATATTTTAAGTCAATACAGGATCATTTGCACTAAACATTTTGTCTAAAATGTACATCCGGTCACAACTAAGCTATTGTTAAACAAAGCAACAGGTTAACGGGGATGAGAAAACTAATTTGAGACGTGAATAGATAATAATGACAGAAAGCAACAACTATCCATTTTTACCTCATTTGATAAAAAGAAACATGCGATAAGAATATAAATAGCCTACGTAATAATAGCCTACAAAACATAATAGCCTATGATACCGTGTTTGATAGAAAGTCTACCGGAAGCACAACAGAAGGCAAACGATCAGTCGAACAGATAAATTACATTTCTGAAAACTTACCACAGCCCGACGCGTGGAAGTCGAGTAGAAATGTCATCAAAGACAAAACAAAAATCACTTCACAGAAAAGCATTGTGTGTTTCCTGATGGTATTGGAAGTAAATTAACGGAAAGGTTAACCCTGGAGCGAGAACAAGAGTGAAAGTTAAAGCGCTGGACAAACCCCCCCAAGTCCACTCCCTGCTTTTCATTGTGTTGAGATGACCGAGGTTACTGTAGCTTTTACAATCACGTCACTGTTTTGTGGGAAGGACTGAGACATGTGAGAAAAAATGTTTTCTGTACATCACCGACGTCCTCAGGCTGATCTTTTTTTTTTTTTAGGACGTGAAATTGAAACTAGTCAGGGAGGATATCCGATTCGTTGTGACTTCTCGGAAATTCCTGGATTTTTTCGAAAAGCTATGAATGAATTTATAGCCCTATCTACCCACCGAGCTTCAGATAGTCTACCATTCAAAATGAAAACACTTGCCTACACAGGACCTCAAAGTCTAATCCAGCCTGTGTTTTGGTGGAGGAAAGTCAGTTGTCCAGAAACACATTTCCCTTATCGCGTTCCTGAATGTGACAGCTCCTCCCTTCATACTTTAAATTCTTGATATCCAACTGTTTATCATTTTTACTCCATCAGTGTTGCCTGCCTGGCTATGATTTATCATTTCCCCCTCAGTTAGGCCTACATAGCCCCCTCCCTCCACCCTTCAAGCTGTTCAGGAGTCATTCAAAGGCCAGATTTTCTTATGGCAATAGCCTACTGTTAGGAAAAGAGCAGCAGAGCCATTGAAGTCAAAAGAAAACCATCCGGGAATTGTAATATGGCCAACTATAGTCTACCCTTGAGCTCATTTCCAACATGACAGATTCAGAATCGTATTAACTTTATAGGCCTACTTTTGGAAAGAGCAACATGAATCAACACCATACAGGCCTTGCTCAGAGAAGAATATGCTTGACATTTCAGGAAGTTCAGTTCTTGTTGTTTAGGCTATTTTGTTGAGTTGATATGGTAACACACTCACAAAATGTATTACAGCTAGCGTAAGCAGCCCCTCAGCACAGCTTATCCTCGTGACAGGAAACAAGGGGAAAGAGTTATCCTGACCTGTCTGTCCAAACATAACATTTGCAGCTCCTCCACATCCCAATAGGTTAAATCTGTTTCTGTTTGAAATCCCTGGACATGCAAATAAAACAAGGGACATCTGCACACAACCATTATAAGTTAGCTGTGAATGATATCCTATAACCACAGCATGTTATATTTCATTCTCATTTTCTGTGTGGATTTTTCAAATGACACTAAAGTCTGTTTAAGAAGTCTTAAAGGGGGCTGGTATGTAGGTTTTGTTCTTTTTTGATGGTTTGGTAGCTTTTAAAGTCCTGTTGTGCTAAGCTGCTTGGGATGTATTTGTTTTTAGAGGGAGGTTTAAACTTTTTTTATGGCATGTGTTAAATAAACAAGAAATAATTTGTTAATTTGTGACCTTTAAATGACCTGCATGTAAACATATTGGCAAAAAAAAAGGGGGAAATAGGTTCTTCCTGTTTCCTCATTTTACCTAGCTTTTCATGTATAATGCTGGTTGAGATATTCCGTTTGCTTACTGTTTAACTCAGGGGTAAATACTTTACTGATGTCCTTCCTGATTCTGCCTATTGGCTGCCAACACACATGCAGGCAAAGAGGGCAGGATGTCACAGCAAGACAGACTGAGCTTTTTCCACTGCTTACTGGCTGCTGGCCATAACTCAAGGTTGTAGCATACAGAAATGATAGTTTACACATTTACAGTGAGAGTATTCCTGACATCACCCCAACATGTTAAAGACAGACACAGATTAAAAACTGGCTCAACAGGAAATACACACACACACACACTCAAATTCAATAGTTCACCTCCATGTCTTTAATCTAATTACTCATTACCTTTATTAAACTTGTCTGTGCATGTTCTTTCAGAGCTATAGTTGTTTGGGATAAGTTGGAGCAGTCAGGCATGTTCCAGTTCACAGTAATGATGTAGCCCAGCTCTTTGTGGAGATTGGAAGTTTAAACAGTCTGACACTTAAACACATAAACAGAGGCAGGATGAAACAGCAGCTGGCTGAAGATCTCTCACAATCTCATGTGAAATAGGCAACATATAACCAAGCATGTTATTAAGGATGACATCTCTCCAGTGCAAAGATGTCTTCTCTATCTATAAATTGACAGAGTATTCCTCTCCATTTCGCCAATATATAGCTTAAAGTAAAAAAAAAAAAAAGTATTGTCTTCAAATTAGGTGTTTAATGAAAATAACTGTGTGAATTGAAGTCTTAATCTCTCCACTAAATGAGCAATCAAGTATTTATAATCAATTGTCAAGGTCTTAAAATAAAAATGGAAGTGAAACAATTCTAAGAAGTTGATGTCAACTGAGGGGAAGTTAAACTTCTGGTGACGTTTCAGGCTGAGTGTGAAAGGGGATTTCGTTGGGTTACAAAATTAAGACAGCTTGAGCAGAACGTGATCTTCAGATGAATCAACAAGCACATTTAGATCAGAGATGACAGAAACACGATCACTGTCACGAGTTAACTGAGGAGGTTGGATTAGAATAGGATTAGTTCATGCTGGTGGATACTTTACATGAATTTAACATTTTATTTTTATTTGCATAACTTTAATAAAGAAATGTAAAAGGTATGAATTAATTTGAATAAACTTCTCATGGCTGTCAGGTAATATTATTCCATGTTTGATTTGCTTTGTGAGCATATTGAGTCAACCTAAGCACATCTTAGCAGGTGAATTCTTAAGGTTGCCTTCAGGATGTCACTGTATACTCTGTGACTAATTATTTTTTTAATTCCTTTATCCCCCTCTGCTGTCCACTATCTGCATTTCATTTTTTGCTAAATAATTTATCTAGTGCCCAAATATCTAATGAATCTTTTTAAACTGTGAGTCATTGGAGATTAGACATTTTTATTATAAAATTCCATATCTCGTTTCCAATCGCTATAATCTTTAAATCTTAACATTTTGTGATTAATAGTATTTTCTTTCATATATGTGTGTGTGTATCATAGACTGTATATAAACATGGATGTAGTCTTGGTGACATCACCCATTGGTTTCTAATACAAGCATTTGAAGCCAATCAATGGGGTCGCCATATTGGAAAATGTGTCTCAAATTTACTGCAGGTGCTTAACAGGCAAAGAGCTGGAGCTGAGGCGGGCCTTAAGCCTCCTGACAAACAGCTATAGCATGCCCACTGTTTAATCAGCTCAGCCAAGTCCGTTAATATAAATAATTCTAATCAAAATGCAGTGTTGGTCAGTAAAAGCACTACAAATACCTGCTTTAATTGTTTAACTACATGTTCCAGTAGCTTTGTGGTAGTTTTCTAAATTAAATAGCTTTTGCTTCACTGTTTTATTGATCAAAGTGTGGTAGGGTCCAGGTAAGCTGCAATTTTCCCACAACAAAGTTGAAGCACAGAGGAGCGCTCTTTAATGGTCCGAAATCAAACTTTAAAGGATGAGTGAAAGACTCAGAAGTCTAAACATGGACATTTAGTGGAATAGTGTAGCAACCCTGAATGGAGAGTCGCTCTGAGCTTGGACAGTTTGTGGATCAAAAGATCATGGGACTGTAAATGTCCAGTTAGAACAAGTGTGTTAAAAACATTAAAGTCACTGTTAAGTCGTGTGGTTGTTAAAAGTGCCCATTTCCACTGTGATACAGAATGTGAATTCAGTTAACGATTCTTACACCAAGAGTGTGAGAGATGACTCATTTATAGACCTCTGGCTAGTGTTATGACTAGTGATGTGTAGTTCGTCAACGATTCATTCAAAACGAACGAATCATCTGGGTGAACGAACTGAACTGAATCACTGACTGAAAAGAGTCGTTCATTTCTCAACTTCAGGTGCGCTCTCCTCTCTCCCGTCTCGTATCTCTCTCTCTAGACCGTAAGAGTCGCTCAAAGCCCGCCCTCCCTCTCCCTTTCATGTCAGTGATACGTACTGACTGAACCAACAGGACGCAGTCGGTCGGGAGCTCTGTGTCACTAAAGCCCGCCCCTACTTCTCCCTCTCATGTCTCCAAAATTGAGGAAGTAGAAAATATATTATTTAACATTTAGGTGTCGCGAAAATGTATGTGCTTTTTATAGATATGACTGCATGTGTGAATAAAACTGTTCTCCTGCTATGGTTTGCACAGTACAGCAGCTGCATGTGTGTTAAACTGAGATCGTTGCCTCTGACATGTTATTGACACAGCAGCTTGCCACAATACCTCCGCATAACGGTAACGTCACCGTCTAATCTTTGATGTCCCTGTAGACAGGTGATCATGAGTTCATGTACTGGGGATCACACAAGCAGATGATTCTTGAACAAGCTAACATAGCCATCCTATATTCAGTTAACCATCACCAGTGCAGACTGCAAACACACTCTAGAAACTTGAAAAACAGCTAACTACAGATCATAAGCGGGGTAAGAGGAGCACAATACATAAGTAGAGAAGTTGAATCTTAGATTATGAGAAAAAGGGACAAATGAGCCAGTTAGGTTAGTTGAGCCACCTCCGGTTAGAATTCAACTTTGACTGGTTTTGTTGTTGTTTATTCACTAAATAAATGACTCTTCAACTGTTTACTTTAACAAATAATTGTATTGGACAATATTGCCCAAACACAGATACGTAACAACCTTGACTTCAAGGTTTTGTTTCTCAATTTTACATGTTTACCTATCAGCCTCCCCTATACAGGCTGTGCGTACGGTGTTTTTAACATTGAAAGTATTTTGATTCCTTTATATGACCTTTTCTATAGCAATGAGGAATAAGTGGTGATCTTTGTATAGATTCTTATTTTATGGATTTTTTCCACTGGTTTAAACGACTTATACAATGTTCTGACGTGTGCTCGATAATGTCTTCATTATGATCAGTTTTAGGAGGCCTCAAGTTGTTTTAGCTGATTTGTAGTACCTGTCCTAGTTAGTGAAAATGCAACTTCTTTAAAAAAGCAAGTCTGAATAAAGAGTCACAACAAAATCCATGGGGAACTTTAAATGTATGTTGTTTTAGCAAAATAATCCTGTGTATTTTTTTCCGAATAAGGTTGTTATAACAGCAGCCAAAAGATAAAAACAAGTTTAGAATATGCGAACAGAGTGAGAAGGAAATCCCCTCTGTATTACCAACTTTCACTTTTGTTTTGACATGGAAATTACCTTAAATTTGAACCAGCTCTGACTGGAAACCCAAACCTAATGCTGCACTTTCATTTTCAACAACTTTGAAGAAATAACTGAAGAAAACATACATGTCAATAGAGGCGGCACTGCATAATTTAATCCACTATAAAAGCAAGTAAAAACAGGAAGCATCTCATTCACTTTCAGAAAACCTTATTTTCAACATTTTTATTTTCAATTTCCATCCACAAAATTGTTAACTGATAATTTGGGTATGGGTATCTTTATCCAAATAGCTACTTTGATGATTGTTCAGCAGCTCCTCCATCTGGCAAGTTGTGGTAAGTGAAGAGTTCATCTAAACTTCGCCTCAAAAATACTTTTTTGTCTTGGAAACAAAAACAAGTTTAGAATATGTGAACAGAGTGAGAAGGAAATCCCCTCTGTATTACCAACTTTCACTTTTGTTTTGACATGGAAATTACCTTAAATTTGAACCAGCTCTGACTGGAAACCCAAACCCAATGCTGCACTTTCATTTTCAACAACTTTGAAGAAATAACTGAAGAAAACATACATGTCAGTAGAGGCGGCACTGCATAATTTAATCCACTATAAAAGCAAGTAAAAACAGGAAGCATCTCATTCACTTTCGGAACACCTTATTTTCAACATTTTTATTTTCCATCCAAAAAAGTAACAACTGATAATTTGGGTATGGGTATCTTTATCCAAATAGCTACTTTGATGATTGTTCAGCAGCTCTTCCATCTGGCAAGTTGTGGTAAGTGAAGAGTTCATCTAAACTTCACCTCAAAAATACTTTTTTGTCTTGGAAATTTTCACTAGGTAATACAGAATATTACCTAAGCAGCTCTGATAAAAAAAAAAAACATCAACCTTTTTTCGTTAAGCACCTGTTTAAGTCATCTGAATGTTTACCGAATAAGCTTACAAAGTCAGAACTATTCTTACAAAAGTAGATTCGTTTTAATATGAGTAGATTTTATAGAGTTTAATAGGGTTCAAATTTGTAAAGGGTTGCATGCTGTTGTGTTCATGTCGGTTTACTCAGGTTGTTTGGCTGCAACGCTTGAATTTGTAGCCGGATGGTCAAAATAAAATGGTTAAGAGGGTTTTGTCAGTATCTCACAATTCCCTTTTTGCTTTTAAAGTTATTTAAATTCAGAGTCTTTATGAAACCTCCTTCAGTGCAGATTGTGTGGCTCTGCTGTTGTTTTCCTTAAGTTGTTAAACTATCTTCAAGATCTTCACAGGGCACCCCTAGAAAAGAGACCTTGGTCCTCCCTGCTAAAATAAAGGATAAATAAAAAGATTGCTGCTGTGATATTGAGTTGTTCCTGGTCATTTTAAAGAGAAGACTGTGTATAAGACTAGATTTAAAACACATTTGTGTAATTTTAAACTTTGTAATTTTAAAGCAGTTTTTATTGTTTTACCATTTTGGAAATATCATTTATATGAGATACTTGTGATACTTGAATGTGTGCAGTTTTCATTTGAGGTCAACGAAAAAAAAACTCAAACTTTTGAATTTTTCATAAAGGCTCTTCTGTGGGATCACTCAAGTACAACTGTGCTGCAACATCTGTTATGATTGACATCAACAAATCAAGCTAAACAAATGCATTAGAAACAAATGCCCAGCATATATATCATGTCATGCTCCCACAATATTCATGTGCTTGTCCAAGGTAAAATGATTTCTTAGTCGTGTCTTTTTTTCAAAACTTAATTTGCAGCTCAATTTTCCTATTGGGAATCATTTTGGCCATTAAAGCACATTTTCTGTCAGCCAATCTGCCAACGCATGTTGAGCACAAAAGACCATGTGCTTTGATGACCTTTCATAACAAACTTTCAGTTTCGTTTCTTGTATGGAAACAACCCACGATTACAATACACAATCCTGTATTCACATACAAACTGGGGGAAATGGCTACACTGGTTATTAAATCAGGAAATCTGTTTATTTAATTAATCCCAGTCATTTATAAATACACACCCGATATGCAAGGAAAAACAATCAGTTACAGCAGATAAGAGTGGTTCCATTGATTAAAAGAAATTCCTCTATACATCTTAAAAGCACAGCCAAAGGCAACCCGAGATCTGTTTTGTCTGTGTGCAGAATGACAGGATTAAGTGTTTTAAATCATCATACAAATATGAAATAGCTGTTTGCTAATTTTACACAGTTTCAAATCTAGATTGTCTAAATAATTCTGCATTATAGAAACTATATGCAGTCCATCCAGACCAGTAAGGAACAGTGGGACAAGCCTCAGGTAAGTACATTTCTATGCTAAACCTCTGAAATCTGTTTCCTTATTTTGAGTCATACTGTACTCCCAAACAAAGCTATACACAGCTTGACAGCCAACAAGGTTTTGTGGTCTAGCCGTTTTCTATGAATAAAGTCGTACTTCGGCTATTTGAAGAAAATATCTCTGTAAATACAGCCCACTAATTCCCATGTTGCATCTTTAAACTGAGCCAGGCTAACTGTTTCTCTGTTTTCAGTATTTATGCTACGCAAAGCTACCTGCAGTGGTCAATCTAACTTCTACCAAAATATGACAACTGTTTGCCACCTGTTTGCTAACTTGTTTTAAGTGTTTTTCTTTAATAATGGTTGTTGTTTTGTGTATTTCCCTTCCACCTAGATCACCGCACAGATGAGCTTCAGCCGAAGTATTCATCATCTCTTGATACAGACCCCAGCGAAGAAGGAAACCCCGGGCCGTTGAACATCTCGAAGTTCACTTTAGTGGGTGTTGGGGCCATTTTTGGTGTTTTGGTTATTGGGCTATGGGGTGGCACTTTAAAACGAGGCAACGGAAACTTATTTAAACAATGCTGATTAGCAGCAGGTGTTGTGCACAAAGAAGGTCAATGGTTTTTAACTGTGGCACGTCATGGTGAAAGTTGAATACCGAGGCAAGAATCAAGCATTTTCTTTATAATAAAGATTAAAGGACTTTAATCTATATTATGTTGACTAATTCAAAGGATTGGCATATCCAACTGGAAGATTTTGTGTTTGTTAGTTTGTTTTTGGACTCACGCCAAGGAGCCACACGTACTAAACCGATCCAACAAAGAAATGTGCGTCAACAGTGGGCCTTAGCGCCCTCAGCAGACGTGCCCTCAGCAGACGTGTCCTCAATCATATCAACTCGGTAGGCTGTGCTGAGGAAGTAGGCAAATCTGTTCTGTCAGTAACTATGTTGTAACTGTGCAATTTCATTTGATGGTTGTATTTTCAAACTTTACAGAAACTTCAGATTTGACTCATTTATAGGAATTACTGTAGTAACCATTTCCATTATCTGAAAAAGTTAAGACTTTCTAAGATAGCCTTGTTATGTATTTTATACTGAATTGAAACTGTAGAATACATTTTAATTCAAACCTTAATTTCATTTTATTGTTGCCGTACATGGCTTGGGTATGGGCAAGTTAAGAATGCTTTGATCTCACACTGTGCCTTTCAATGGAAAAATAAAATCAATCATCTCTTGAATCTTAAGGACATCGGGGTAACATCGGGGTTGGGTAACATCCTAAGAACATAACAAACAAAACAGAAACCAGTCTATTGCAAGAGCATGAAGTACTGAAAGCTTTCATGCAGTCATGTACATTCTCTGAGAATGAACCTAAACCTGTGCAGAGAATAAAAAGCATAAAACATTATGAACCCGTGAATTATTTGTAGCTGGTATTGTTGTTTGGTACAGTTGGTCTCTCGGTAGCTTTTGTTTGTTGTAGAGGTTCGTGGTTTGAATTGAGCATGTATTAACCCAATTCAATATCGATTCAAGGAATCCTGGGATCGATTTTTTTTCCCCTTGTAATGACACCCCTCTCCACTTGGGGGTGCTGTGAATTCCAGTCAGTTTTTGCAGTTTTTTGCACAAATATAAGAAGGTACTGTGATCTCAGTATTTCTCTCACCTATGTGTAATGTTGAATCGATGTCAAAGCATATTGATCAATATCGAATCGTGACCCAAAGAATTGAAATCGAATCGTGAGGTTGTGGACAATAACCAGCTCTAATATCATGCTGTGCTAAATGTGCACCAACTAATCGCTGAATTCGAGTGTTCTCCCGTCTTACATGCCTGCAAGATGGCTGTCAGAGAATAACAACTTTCTGTCATTAAAACTAAAACATACAGTACACCACCTTGTGGTGCTTTTTTTTTCTTTTTAAATTAGTGATATTCTGGCTGTTACATGGTTTAAAATGAGCAAATCACTTCCAGTCTGTTAAATTCTTCATCTACATTGACATTTCCAGATATTTAATCACTTAAAATAGTGAGCATGCCAAGTAAGAAGTATTGTTTGTTAACTAAAGCATTACTTTTTATTCATTCATTTATTTTTTTAATAATTTCAGACTTTCATAATGTGATTATGGCCAAACCTCATATCAGGAACAGTTCAATTAGTTGTGCAACATTAGTATGACTACCATGGGTTGAAAACAGAGATTGCAAGGAATATTTGTAGAGTGAGACGCCAGCAGGGGAATGAGATAATGAGCCCGTACATATTGGAAAATAACTATTAGTGTAATGAAGATAATAAAACTAAACTCAGTTGGGACATTAGTCTGTTGCTTTTCACTGGATTCACTCAGGTGTGTCGGCCAGAACACCACTTCAGGCCTTATTCCAGAATATGAATAACGAGTGCAGAATTGGTTGAATGGCTGTTTACTTCTTCTCTTGTCGTGAAACAAAATACAGGCATCTCAGTGGCCATTCAATATGACAGAGTATTGGGTCTTGTTGTGGTTTTCTATAAGAAAAAGAATAGCAGAATATATACTTAAGGAACACAAATCTGAATGCTTCATCTTACCTCTATAACATACAAAACACTGTACAGTAATGTAATAGGTTATAATATTTAAATAAATAAAAGGTAAGCTACATGTCTCTTTAACCTAAAGTGTAGTGACCAATTTTAACAAACCCAATATTGTTTAGAAAAGTCACTTGAGGGATGAATGTGGAAGCTTTCGGAGGCGTGCTTAGCTCAAAGAAATTAACTCAGTCTATAACTGCTCCCAAAGTTTCTTCATCTGGTACAGATAAGCCACGCTCCAACTGATGTTTGACCAATATTTATTCTTTTCATTTTGTCAGCAAACACCATGAAAAACTAAAATGAAGTAAATAAAAACACAAGCATTCATGAGCACGGATGACTATACAAAAGCTAAACAAAATGTCCTTTACAAATAAAAATACAATTACATACCGTGTGCGCCTTCTAACCAGAAATGTTTAGGCTTTGCAGTCTTTTAAAGTTCTTCACAGACGCGTCTCCTTCATCTGTGTCCTACCGTTGGTACTAGCGTCTGGCAGCACGTTTTTATTGTTCCAATTAAACATGTGAACACTGCATGCTGAACACTCAGCGCAATACACAATTAGACCAGTAGGTGTCAGTAACAGAGCATAGAATCTGAAGACATTTCAAAATAAAACATTTTCTCTGTAATTACAACAAATCCTGTTCAAAGAAATATAATGTTCTGCGACAGCTACACTGCCACCAAAATTACAAAGATTTATATTCATCATATGTCCCAACCAAACATTTAAATCAAGTAATTTTCGATGAATTAACAATCAATCTTCAAGTCATTAGAGCTTCAATGACATTAATAATATTGACTCTCAACCCAACAAACTATACTCCTTTTTGTATTTATTTTGTCTAATTTTAGTAGTATTTCACTTGTAGTTTAGGATTCATCCTCAACTAAAACCACTAGTTTTTGAACTGGACGTTCAAGAAAAGAAAGTGGCTTCAAGCGTTCACCTTTCTTTCCTAAATCTCTCTTTCCTATTTGGATTTTAACCTTTCGCACAAGACCATCATCATCTTCACTTGTCTCAACTACTCTGGCTAGTTTCCACTCATTTCTTGGAGTATTGTCATCTTTAACAATCACTACATCCCCAACTCGTACATTTCTTTTGGGCGCATGCCACTGTTGTCTTAGGCATATGTTGGTCAAGTATTCCTTGCGCCACCTGCTCCAGAATTGTTCTGTCAGATATTGCACCCTCCGCCATCTTTTCCTGGCGTACAAATCTTCTCTGACAAAATTGCCAGGAGGCGGCAGGGGAAGAGATGTCTTCATCGTGAGTAAATGATTAGGCGTCAAAGGCTCAACACTTTTGGGGTCACTGATTGTATCTGTGGTTAGTGGGCGATTGTTCACAATCGACATGGCTTCATAGAAGAATGTTCTCAGTGAAGAGTCATCTAGCCTTCCTGTGACTTGTGCCAGGACAGACCTCATTACGCTCCTGACTGTCCGGATCTGGCGTTCCCAAACACCACCCCTGTGGCTTGCTTCAGGAACATTCATTAGGAAGTCGCATTGGTTTTGAGCCAGATAGGTGGAAATCCTCTCTTTGTCTAGCTTCAATAGACTTTTCTCCAACTCATTCTTTGCCCCGACAAAATTCGTACCTTGGTCAGATCGAATCTGTCTTACTGCTCCTCTGATTGCTATAAAGCATCTCAAAGCATTTATGAATGCATCAGTAGTGAGATCCTCTAACATTTCAATGTGAATGGCTCTGGAGCTTAAACACGTGAACAACAGGCCATATCGCTTACATTCTTTCCGACCATGTTTTGTATAGAAGGGGCCGAAACAGTCAAGTCCAGTGTATGAGAAAGGGGGTGAAGGATCTACATGGTCAACTGGCAAGTCAGCCATGCGCTGTTCTTCAGTCGGTCCACGTACCTTTCTGCAAGTGACACAACACTTGATATGCTTGGCCACTACCCTACTGGCACCTATTATCCAATATCCGCTGGCCCTGAGTTCGTTCAATGTTTGGCCTCGGCCTTGATGTTGTGTTTTCTTGTGATAATGATCAAGTATTAGTTGTGTGATAATGCCTTCCTTAGGAAGTATTACTGGATGTTTCAGCTCAAAAGATGCAGAAGACTTTCTCAACCGCCCTCCAACCCTAAGCAAGTCATTAACGAGGATGGGATCAAGTTGGAACATCTTATGAGTTTTTGGTAGTTTAGCTGATTTTTGAGTAAACCATTTAAGCTCCTCTTCAAAGTCTTCTCTTTGCGCTGCCTGGATGAGTGCAAAAGATGCCAATTTTCTCTCTTCCACACTAATGGGCCCTGACTTGTCCCTCTTTGCCAGTCTTTTTATCCTTGCGACAACATTGAGGGTTGTATTCCAGTCAGAAAATCTTGAGAACCTTGCAAGAAAGCTGTCATTTTCAAGAGCATTTGTCTTCAGAACCTTTACCTCTGGATCACCAACGAGAAGTTCTGGAGAATGTTGAATCTTGACAATTTCCCGTTCCCATAAAAACTTCGGTCCAGTGAGCCAGTTTGAGTCAACCAAGTCTGCCACCTTGAGACCCCTAGACGCATGGTCTGCTGGATTTTGATCTGTTTCAATGTAGAACCATTGTCTTGGATCTGTAGTGTCTCTTATTTTCTGGACGCGATTGGCAACAAAAACATGAAAGCGCCGAGCTTCATTTTTAATGTACCTGAGCACCACCTGTGAATCTGTCCAGAAAAACTCTTCATCTATCTTCAGCTCAAGCTCTGTTCTGAGGAAGTTGCTTACTCCAGCAGAAACTGCAGCTGCAGTGAGCTCAAGGCGTGGGATGGTGACAATGTTTGTGGGGGTCACTCGGGCCTTACCCATGACCAGTGCACAATGTATTTGTTCGTCGGCAACAATCCTGATATATGAACATTGTCCATAACCACTGCTGCTTGCATCAGAAAAATGATGTAGCTCCATCTTTTGGATTGTACCGTGATTCTCAGGAATGAGACATCTTGGTATTTGAATTTTTTGAAGATTTTTCAGGTCACAGAGCCATGTTTCCCATTTGGTCTTGAGTGCAGGGGGAACAGGCTCGTCCCATCCAACACCACGCTTGCACATTTCTTGCAGCACTTGTTTTCCGTACAAGATGTAGGGAGAGAGAAATCCTAGTGGATCATACACACTTGCCACTGTTGCTAGGATTCCTCGTCGTGTGGCTGGCTTTTCTTTGAGGACGACGCTGAATGAGAACACATCAGCATCTAGATTCCACTTTACTCCAAGTACACTCTGCATTGGAACCTCATTGTAGCTGAGATTTACATCTTTCCTGTCACTTGCACGTTCCGTCTCTGGAATGGCATCCAGGACCTCTCTGTTGTTGCACACAAATTTGTGTAAGCGCAGCTTTCCTTTGACACAAATTTCTTGTGCTTCATTGACCAGCTGTTTTGCATGGTCAACTGAATCCACGCTGATGAGCCCATCATCCACATAGAAATGTTTGCGAATGAAGCTGGCTGCTAAAGGGTAGTCTTTTTCATATTCACTGGCGAGATGTTTCATGCCATAGTTGGCACATCCTGGAGAAGATGCCGCTCCAAAAATATGCACCCGCATGCGATATTCCTTGGGCTCAGTGTCTGTGTTCCCATCTTTCCACCACAGGAACCTTATGAAATCACGATCTTCTTGGCTAACATGGAAGCGGTGGAACATTTTCTCCACATCGCACATGATTGCGATTTGACCTTGGCGAAATCTGCACAACACTCCAGCCAGAGCATTGGTCAAATCCGGTCCTGTCAATAGGTGGTCGTTAAGAGAGGTGCCTTCAAATCTGGCA